GACATCATTTCCAGATGATTCAATGCAAGTTGCTCATTTTCAGTAAAATGAAAAATAAATCTGTGCTTACGCAGATTAGTAGATGAAATCTTCCATCCTTATAAGCACGCACACAAGTGGGGGCATTGCTTTCATTCCTAGGCTGCAAACTATGCACGTAAGTCCAGAGCTGCTGCGACTAAGCACTGAGAAGGTTTAGGCACCACTTTCCTAGGAAGAGCCGACCTGCCAGGGCACCCGAATGGACTCCACTGAATTGGGGTACAAAATCCTGGACCATGGGCCCTCTGAGGAAGCCTTGAGGGCTGGGCTCAAAATCTCTCCTGGCTCCTTATTAGCACCGCATGGTTCCTCCTGCAGGAGGTCTGGTGTGCTGTTGCCTCAGGCGGCTGCCTTGGACTTGTTTCCTCCAAAATCATCATCCAAAGCTTTGTGGTTAGAATTAACGTGTAGTTGTGTATTTGTATATTTGCATGAGCAAAGGTCAGGAACTGTCAGAACCTAGTAGCTCCTTTTATTTCTTGTAATCAAAGATAAGCTTAAGAAAGAAAGTATTCAGTCAATTGTGACCCCTGACACCTAAGAAACCAATAACCTAGTGCAAAAGAAGCCCCTCTGCCCCCAAGCTCCATACTTTGGTCACAAAAACAAACAAACAAACAAAACAAAAACAAACAGACAAACAAAAAAACTATTGGTATCAACAGTTAATTTGCGTTTACTGAAAAATTTGCTCAAGAAATCCTTCCAGAATAAGCAGCACTAGCCCCAGCTGGAAAACTGCCAGTTCAAACCCTGCCCTTCCACCAGAGCAGGGCTCTTTTCTACCACCTTCCCCCACATCTCCCCCCTCCTCCTCCCCCTCCCCCCCCCAAAAAAAAAGTTCATTTTTTGTACAATGATTCTCTGATTTTAAAAAAAGAATAATAATCTGAATGTTTCTATTCAAAAAATAAGCAGAAAAAGTCATTTTTGTGTGCTTTTTCCAAGTGCCAGTATGAACTGTTTTCAGTTTACCCACATCCTAAAAAGCAAAAAAAAAAAAAAAAAAAAAAAAAAAAAAGAGAAAAAAGAGAGGGAAGAATTTTGCTGGTTGAAAACGTTAAGATAACAAATCATTCCCCCATCCCTGACAAAGGTGGAAAAGTTTGATTGCAGGATTCACAACTGGAAAAGAGCCTGGCCCTGCTGGTAGTGCTGGGCTATTGAATGACAGCCCAGACACGTCCTTTTTTGTATTGCGGCTTTGCCCTAATTTGAAATAAACTGTAAAACTGTCAGGATATAATTGCTACACACTTTACGCAGTTCTGGGCTTTAGGAGCAAAGCAAATTAAAAACAGTCTAAAAAGGGGTAAGTTTCTGGAGGCTTCCTCCCTGTGTATCAGCTCTGTGCTGCACAGTGGGACGGTGCCGCTTGCTTTCCATGTGCAGCACGGGGGAGACATTGGCAGCCTTATGCCAAGGAGCTCTCAGTGGCCAGAATTGAGAAATCAGAAAAAAAAAAAAAAAAAAAAAAAAAAAAAAAGCAGGGGGAAATATGTATAAAAAGTGAAACTTGATTGTACTAAGGAGCTGTGCATGTGTCCTTTGTGTGCGTGCATATACAGGGGAAGGCTTCGGGCTTGTAGCATAGTACGTGTTAGCATGATACATACTGGTTCTAAACCTCTTGCATCTGCTTCTGCAGTTGAGATGTTAAAAAGGTTTTATTTCTTATTTCAATATTTAAAGGAAAAAATAACATTTAAAAAAAAAAAAAAAAAAAAAAAAAAAAAGAGAACAGTGGCAAAATCATGTTGAGAGGCTAAAAAAACACCTGAGGGGGCACACTGAGTTAGTTTGTCATCTGCTCCTGTCCTGGAAGCCAGCGACGGTCTCTCAGCATTGCAGCATCCCAGTACTGTTCCGAAGTGCTCGTTGTTCAATAGGATGTTGTTTTTCTCCAGTGTAATGTTGTGATTGTTACCTGATAACGTTGCCAGGGACTTCACATTGTGAGAGGTGGTCCATCTTGTTTGATGTATTTGGCTAAAAAACAGTGGTGGTTTTTTTATTATTTAAATTCCTAGCAACTGTGACTACAGTAACGTGATGAGTAGCACATAAAGTGAGGAGGAGTCTTTGATGCTGTCCTCCTCAAAAATGTCATCTGAACTTTTTTAAAAAAAATGAAAAATATTTTTAAAACATTTTAAAACATTTTTTTTGTGTTTCAAGACAGAATATTTGTATTAGAAAAAATATCCTGGAGTGTAATTAAATCCTAAAAAACCCTATCCTTTGTGTATATGGTAAATGTTTGTATTTTGCAGTTTCTGTTTTGCTTTTTAGATAAATGAAATGTATATGGATATTTTTAAGTCATCTTTGCTTTTTTAGATGAGTTTGTAATCACCTTATAACAGAAAATAAAACTTTCCTTTATAAACCAGCCACGCTCTCAGGTGTTTTCAATAATTGAATATCTCACCTCATCCTTTAAACCTATTTACTTTTTGTATGCTTGTTTTATTTTGTTTTGGTTTTGTCATAAATATTCCACACATAGCTATGAGGAGGGGAAAAAAATGTGGGTGTGTTTTATGTACATAGATATGAATATATATATATATATACATGCACACACCCACCCTTGGACCAACTCCCTAAGCTGACGTCATTGCCCATTTTCTCCTCATTCCCCACAGGCGTACTTCAGTCTGGGTTCAAACTTGCACATTTGGCTAGCTAAACCCAGCCCCATAGAGGCTGGCTGTTTATTCAGCGTTACTTTTGTCACGCAGCCACGTATCTGGCTGACCATGCCAAAGGGTCCATGCTGTCCCCAGACCACTTTGTTTCACTGTTGCCCACTCCATCGCCTTATGTCTTCACCAGCATTTTGGTTTCCCCAGCCCAATGTGCCCACAGGGTGTGTGCTGGCTCTCACAAAGCAGTGAGAAGGTAGGGAAATCGTGCCTTTTCACTTCCTTATTTTTTTATTTTTATTTCCTCCAGTTTTCTTCCTGTATTTTGCTGGCCACAAACCACTCCTGCAGCTACCAGGGCACAAGAAGATGACTGCAGCTCTACTGCTAACACTGGGGAGCGCCGGTCTTTGGGCCGTGGGCTGAGCAGCCTTACCTCAGCCTGTCCTGGGGCATGGCCTGCTATTCGGGGCTTCAAAGGCAGCAGAAAAGCCCAATGGGAAGCATTTAAAACAAAACAAAACAAAACAAAACAAAACAAAACAAAACAAAACAAAAAAAAGGCATCTATTTATTTATTTATTTTCTTGGTGTATGGGACTTGTCATTTAAAGGGCTCTGACAGCCTGTTCAGTCAGGCAGCTGAAAGCTAAACCAGACAGGCCTTTCCCTAAGTCACGGTAAGGAAAAGAAAGAAAAACAACTCACTTAGATGGGTACTATTTTTGAAAAGCAAAACTGCTCAGCGTTTGTGCACCAAGCCCTAACCACTGCTCCACTGAGGCTGCGGCCACCCCGTGCCCCTCATGGGGCAGTGCCACGCGCTTGTCATGGGCTGAGGGCTGGACCCTGGCCAGCAGAACCCCCCCCCAAACCAGGTTTCCCTGGTGCATTTTGAAGCAGAAAGCTTTTTTGGTTGTTTCGAGGGGGACTGTTTATTTGTCTTAGGTTTCGGCTTGGGTTGTTTATTTTGGCCGGGTGAGATCTGAGGACTTGGCCTGGGCCTCCTCCTCCCACCAGCAAAGCCTGCAATGCCTGGGCCGAGCAGCCTGATACCAGCACAGACAGCAACTTCAACACGTCTCAGATATAAAATATAACATAAAATAAAACCAATAAAGCCATGCAGCATCGCACACAACTGCTGAAGGGCTTCGTGTACCCGCTATGGGCAGCTGCAACCTGCCCAGGCCTGTGCCAGTTCCCTCATCTGAGGCCTGCAGGCCGTGGGTGATGGCTGGCAGCAGACACTGTGTGGGCAGCACCGTGTGGGCAGCACCGTGCTGACCTTTGGCTTGCTGGAGGCGGTGGCCGGGCGCTGCAGCCCCGCAGGTCACGTTGCACAGGCGCTCGTTCAACCCAACATCGCCCCGGCGCCTGGCTTGGCACCGAGCGGCTTTGGCAAGGCCCCGGTGCCAAACATGTGAAGGGCCCTGCTCGGCAGCCCGCGCCCCAGGAGGGCAGCCAGAGATGACCGATAAGGCTTGTTTACGTGGCAATGATTCCCCAGCTCTAACCAGGAGCGTTTCCATGCTCGACCTCCAAAAATTCCTGCGCTACCCACTTGGCGATGAAAGGTTGCAAAACCCAGTGCACCCTTTCCTTGCCAGCGAGCAGCAGTTCCTGATGGCTTTATGTGGGAAGCACCAGAGCCTGCACTGACAACTCTGGACACGTAGCAGTGTCCTTAATCCCCCTGAGCAAAGGAAAGTAAACCTTACTGTAAGGACACACGCAATCACATTCTGCCTTTGTGGCAGTTTTTTCTCAGGACGCCAGGTTCCAGAGGCTGGATAATTTGGCTACCACAGTGCAGCACCCCAAGGCACCCCGCTGTGCCTGCGGGATCCAAGCACCCACCAGGCCACCTGCCAGCACTGCAGCCTCCGGTGATTTCTCAAACCATCCCCAGGGGTTACCGTAGCTTTGCAAATGCTGCCATAGGCAGTAGGTGCATTGCTGCACCAGTATCTTGTCCTGACACAGCCAAGGTTTAGCCCAAGGAGGTTTCCAGTGTGGCCAAGTGAAGCTGCAGTCACAGAACCATGTGTGTGGACATCTCCAGCTCAGAATGGAGACAAACAGAATGTTGTCCCTATGTCACAGGGAATGAAGTGAATGGTCCCAAGTCCTGCTGCTGAATGGCGGTGAGTGGCAACCCCAAGCCTACACCAGGAGCCCTACAAGCAGTGCCCACCCCTTGCCCTTCCAGGTGTCTCCTAACATAGGGTCTTTGGCAAGTTAAAACAGGGCTGGAGGCAGAGTATTGTCCTGCTTCTGTCCTCTAGCAGAGACAAGAACCAAAACTAATGCATTTCAGTTGCTTTTATTTAATTAAAAAAAAAAAAAAAAAGTCAAAGTCATTGCAATCCCATTTAAATACAGAGATTTACAAATACGTCCAAAACAGGACTAAAATATTCTTTGAAATGCTGTATTTTTAAATATTGTGCTTTCATAGATACATAAGAAAATTAGCATATAAAAATACTTTACAAGGAATACACTCTAATATATGGATAAAAATACACATTTAAGTAATGCATTTCATCTTCATATCATTCAAAATGCATAGGAAGGGATACAAGGACCAAGTTTTTCTTCCTTTTTTAAAGCCTTTAATAAAAGTCTTCATTAAAAACCTATGAGAAGCCCCAGCGAGCTTCCACTGTTCAGAATATTGCATATAAAAACACTTTCGGCTGCACTGTCAATGCTCCACAGTATCAATTATGGCACATTATCTAGTTGTGGCAGCAATGGTATGGGATATTGCATACTTGAAGAGAAAATGGCTACAACGACAAGTAGCTGGATGGGGCTGGACACGTCTCAAAGAAACACCCCAATACATCGGGCTATCGCGCAGGGACGGAGCGGGGATGGATGCGGGGGTGAGTCCTGGCTCAGCAAAACAAGGAACATGCCGCGTACACCCCTACGGCACCCCGAACACAGCACCAGCACGAAGGTGGTGATGAAGGAACAAAAAGTATGAGCAGGGAACAGGGGCAGTGGTCACTGGGGCTGTGGGTCCCCAACCACGCGAGCTCCTCATCTCTGCCATGCCTGAGCCTTCCCAGGGAGTGTGATGCCAGGATCACACCCGCGCCGGGACATTAACATCATCATAAAGTGCTAGTACATGAAACACAGAGCGTCTGCCACAGGAGGAGCTCGTGGGGCCGGGAGGGGAGGAAGAAGAGCCCACAGCCACATTTTGACTCTGTCCTGGCAGGCAGATGAAGAAGCCGATGCAAATATCTCAGCTGCCTCCTCCCCATGGGCTGGGAGCACTCAGCAGGGAGGGACAACCCGGGGGGGCACCATGCTTGTGAAGCCACGGAGAAGCCAGCGACAGGCAAAGGGGGCAGACCAAGGGCAAGCAGCCGAACCCACATGGGCACACACACTGCCAGCACAGGTGGGGACACGGATGCACAATCTCCATCTAACAAAGAGCTTCTCATGCCACTGCCTGGCAGAAGACAACAAGGTTTTATTAATTCAGCACATCAGGGGCAGCCCTGGGGTGATTGCTTTTCTGCTATTTACCTGGGGGCACAGCTTGCAAGCAACAGGTCTCCGTAACGCCCATCTGAACAAGGTGGCCAGGGATTTGGGTAGGTATTCAGGGCCTCCAGCCTTGGCACAGCGCTGTGCTCTGTATAACTACTGCAGCACAGGTAACTGCACTGCTCATGGGAAGCGATGGTGAGAGGAGTTGCCTCAGCGCAGGGCAGCGGGTGGTGGGGTGAGCCAGCCCTGGTGGGAGAGGATGGAAGGGGCTGGCAGGAGGCAGCTGCAAATCCTGATTTCTGAACAAGAACCGCACCTTGCCACCAGCAAGCACGTTTTGAAATGTCTTTTAAACAGGGCTCTCCACGGCCCCGCACCAAAGTGAAAGGGGCTGCGGAAATCGATTTATCAGGAGTGTTTAAAGGGTGGAGCTGGGTACAACAGAAAAGGAAAGGCGTTTCAGTCTCGCTGTATGTGATTAACAGAACAAACAAGAAAAATAATAGCACCATGTGTGTTTGTAGGATGGCCAAGGCCTTCAGGGCGACAGCCTGGGCACAGGGGATGCCCTGCCGTGGGGGATGGCGAGGGATGCTCCTTCCTCCCTGCGCTGCCCACGGCCCGAGATGCACGTCCAGATCCGGCCTTCCCAGCAATTTTTGGCGGTCTACAGGCGACAGCTCACCGCAGACCCACCTCCCCACTTGCAGGTTACGGTACACACAGCGTTTACAAATACCAGTGCAAAAAAAGAGGAAAAACACCCCAAATACCACAACGGCTTGGCAGAGGCCCCCGGCGCCGGCCACTCAGAGTGTCTGGATGCTCGCCTTGAGCTCGGCGCCGCGGGCTGCCTGTGCCGGCAGCTCTCCGTTCCCCTCCAGGGGAGCGTTGGCAGCCAGCGCCAAGGGGTTTCGGCTGATCACCAGGTCCAGCTTGTCTCCAGCCTCTGAGATCAGGGGGACGGCCAGACAGCAGTCAAAGTCTCTCGTTCGGATGCGGTTTACCTGCCGGGATGGATTTAGGATGTGCCATGGGGAGGAACAACAGAAACACCGTGTTTGTTAGTCAGAAAACGCAAGGCTGGTGTTAAACCCACACCTGTGAACCACACAACGCCCAGGGGGACTCTGAGTGAGGGGTCACAGGAGAGCTGAGCACGGGCCTCCCATCAAGCTGGGCACGTCCTTGCTTAGCTGAGAAATAACTCAGTATCTGGTAGAGGAAGGGGGAAAAAGTCTGGAACAGGAATAAATCCTGAGCCCTGGAGTCTAGGACAGTGTTGTAACTATTAAACTCTACAGGGCTCAAAATCAATTCTCCAATTCAAGTTGGCGAGAGAAATGTTGCAACTTTCCACATTTTTTTTGCCATCATGGCTTTTACTGGATTTAAATCTGTGATGTGTGGAATTCAGTGCCTAGAAAACAAACACAACACAGACTCTGAGGCTTCAGTCAACCATTTTCCAGCTCAGCCAGCAGCAAATCAGGACTATACTGAACAGTTCCTGCTTCTCCTCTCCCCATTTACACCCTTCATTTTGGAGGAGTCTGAATGCATTTCACATGGGCTCAGAAGAAGGCTGCCGAGGCTGCAAATCCTCTCTGCAGGATTCAGCAGTGAAAGCGCTGTTCCTTTTGCCTCTTGCAGATCTTCAAGCACATTTCTAGGCTGGGTCACCTGCAAGAGCCACCCCAGCTGTCCTGCCTACAGCTACTGGAGCGCCTGGGCTTGGTGCCACAACAGCCCCAGGATGGAGAGGGCTGGCAAATGGCATGGGGAGGGGAGGCAGGGAAGGGAGAAAGGAATTTCCCACCCACCTTTGGAGTGAACATAACCCCTGAGGCCAGGCATTGCTTCTCTCTCTGGATAAGGGCTGGATGAGGCCACGCAACCTTTGCATCCAAAACCCTTTCCCAGGATTAATGCGTGCCCACGGAGCTGGGCTGTGTGACGGCAGCAGTGTCCCCTGCCCTATCTGGCATCCACGCAGCTGCACCCAACACCGCTCCTTACGGAGAAGTAAGTGCCTAGCAACAGTTTCAAGATAGTGCAGGGACAAGGAGAGAGAAGCCATGAGTTTGCTCTGCCTTTGCTCCATGCTGGCAAGGCGGCTCCAGAGCAAAAATGAAGTTAGTGCAATGCCACGCTCTGGCTAATCCATCCAGCCGAGAGGCAGAGGGTCCTTGGCGGGGAACTGGGTGCTTTGCTGGCCTTCAGAGCTGGAGCTTGCTTGCAGACATCTTCATGCCCATCACCAGCAGCACTGAGGAGCATCCTCAGCAATGCATCTCTGCCACAGGTGTCAACAGGACGGCAAATCTTCTCACAGGTGGAAGCCATGCGGCACGGCGTATCAAAGGGGGGGTCTCAAAAAGTCTCCACTCCGCTCTGTTTAGGATTTCAGGCACACCTCCCGGAGCACTTGGCACTCGCAAAGAGCGACACATCCAACATTCAACAGCAAGGCAGCCTAGAGCCTAATTAGCTTCTTGTTCATTCTTGCACCATCTTTTATTTGAAGCCGAGAAAGAATAATTGTATAGCAGCCAACTGGCTGGAGACCATAACAAGCTTAAACAAGGTTCCCCACAGCCCTGCCAGTTCTCCAGTTACCTGCTGTACATAATATATTGGCTCTGACTCTACTGCTAACAGCCCCCGCCTAGAAATTAGTAAAACTAAACATCTTTCTGAGTGTTTCCAAATATGGTCACAATATCTGCATTTCCAAATGGTGGCAACTTTTCCAGCGGGGTTGCACTTTCTCAGTTGCTATCTGAGTTGCCCCAAAGCAAAACTTGTGATTTTTCATCCATATAAAGGTCCTTTCCAAGCTCCAAAACTCACCGTGCTCTTCTTGTCCCTCTGGTAGGCAGATATGCCCAAGTTATGTTAATTACAGACTGTGCTTTTGACCAGAGTTTTTATTCTCTTTCTGCATCGGTTGTTTCAGATCAAATATCTTTTGAAGAAAAATATCTGTGAAAAACAATTTGCTTGAAGGATGGTTTGTTCCTAGAAGGCTGTTAGTTGTCAAAGGCATGCACCGAACTTCATGAACACTGCTCAATTCCACAAGGGGAGATTCACTAGAATGCATGTTGGCAACACAGTCTAGTTCATCCAAAAATCACCCTCTTACACGATAGCAAAAGGACCAAGGGTGAGGAGGGAAAGCAACACAGCTTTTTGGTTGTTTTGGTCGTAAGCTGCCCGAGCTCAAAATGGCCATTGCTGGGACAGGCTCTGTATGGAGGTGCTCCCTGGGATGGGTGTACTCTAGGGGAGCCAGCTTTGCTACCTCGTGGTTTGTTATTGTAAAACACAGGTCTCAGTGAGAGCGTGGTGGTAGGTGCTCACCTAGTTGGCTAACTATTACCTTTCATTAAAGTTAGTGCTGCCATGGGTGGGTCTCACTTCTCTCTTCCTCTCAGCCACTCATTCACTCCGTCCCAGCCTCCAGAACTGCATTTTGCATTTATTACCTGAAGCACTCTGTCATATGGCTTGAGGCCACACTGATCTGCTGGCCCATCCGGACGGACCATATTTACATAGACACCTTTTTCTAACAGGCCGTCCGACACACTGAATCCGAAGTCTTCGCTCTCTGCGTCTTTGTGGAGTGTCATCTGGAGGGACAGAAGCAGAAAGCACACATTTTAATGCTGCAGAGGCCAGAGGAGATGTACAGGGTTGGCAGGACAGCAAGAGCACAGGTAACGTGTGTGGGCCTCGAGCAATTCTGCTGCGAGTCTCCTGGGTGGATTTTAAGAACTCAGCTAATGCAGATTGAGGGACAGCTGATTCCCCCCACCATAACTCCCTTTGCTTCCCAAAGCTGGGAACTCATTAGGCTCTGGCTCCATCACTGTGCTATGGGCTGGGGAAGCCTCACAGCTGTGCAGTCCTTGGGAAGGACGGAGCCCAGGCTGATGCACAGGAGCAGCTCACCTGGCCTCCAACTCATCTCCAAGCACAGCCAGCACCAGATGCTCCAGCAGAAAGAACAGCCACCCCCTAACATGCCTAATTACACAGCTCTCCTCCTTCAGGAATGAAGAAGTTTTATTTAAAGGTGCATTTGCCATGCCCTGAAGGACAAGAGCAGATCAAACGTGAAACAGTTGTTTTTCCTAGCTGCCCTAAGTGCAGGTTTTGCTCTAAAGTCACACTAGGAAAGAAAAAGGCAATCAGATTTTTTGAAACGTCTCCAGATCCCTTCCCTACTTGCGTTCTGCATTAACAGCTTCTACAGTTAATTAATTACTCCTTCTAATTGCCATTGCCTTGCACCACACTTAAACCTGAACTTGACTGAATTCAAACAAGTATCTCATCACTGAAGTCCTACCATTTGCACCACTTTTGGAAAGGCTGGGGATGAAGAGGAGGGGGAGGGAAAATACATTATTTCTTAGGAAAAGTGGCCTACGGAGTGGTGCGTGCTACTGGAAAAGTGTCAGCTGGTCTCCACGGGGCCATACATGGAGCTCTCTCACCTGTATCTGTAGCACCAATTAATGAACCACAGAAAACAGGGACCTGGAAACCTCATAAAATAAAGGCAAACAGCAAAGCACGGGTTTCAACCCCACCAAAGCATGGCAGCTAAGTCCTATTACACTCCTGAAGAGGCCCCTTCCTCTTCATCTGACTCTCTGAAAACCTCTGCTGCACACCTTGGTCGGGGACAGCTTTGGCAAGGAACATTTACCAACAGTCCCTTTGAACAAAGGATGTTTCCTACAGGATTGCAAAACACCCAGCAGCTTTTACCATCGAGGGGGGCCACAGCCAGACCAACCCCTGGCTACACAGACCTTGTGAAACTCGAGGGGGGTAGGGGACATGATTTCCTGCATCTCCTTCTCCATCTTCTTCATGTCCAGGTTCCTCTCGTTCTTCTTGGCAGGGGAGCTGCTGCCCTCGGTCTGTCCGTCATCACAGCCGGTGTTGGCTTTCCTCAACGGGCTGAGTCCCGACGGGTTGACAGAGTCCAGGAGCAGCTTGCTGCCCTCCAGGCCCAGGTTGTGGACGCTCCCCGTCATGATGGATGCCTGCAGGGAAAAGGCACAAAGTCACTCAGCTGAGCTGGCAGCGGGAAGGGACGGACTGTGTGGCAACAGAAATAGCAGAAAGGACAACAGGGGGGCACCCTGGTTCTCGTTAATCAGAAAGGTAAGGACCAAGAAGCTCTTTCATTTGGCTCTAAGAGCCATTTCCAGATGGAAGGAAGCATCTGTGGAGCATCTCCTATCCAGCTCCCCATGGCAGGGTGTCAGAACTAGGTGGTCTTTAAGGTCCCTTCCAACCTGAGCCATTATATGGTCTTTTTGATGTCCCCTTCTACACAAACAGGATGGGGCAGACCTCATTTGGGGATCTTTTGGGATTCGAGATGGATGAACATCCTGATCCTGGGGCTCGCAGAGGGACTGGTGTCAGCCTGGATCTCCAAGCCTACGTCTGTGTGCTGCAGCTCCCTGTCAGCATCACCCCATGCTGGCAAGGCCCCAGGAAGGCAGAGCTTTGGGCTCTGCAGAGCCCAATTCAGCAGAGAAATGAGGATTTTATCTGTCAGTAAATGGGAGCCTTCACTGAGTAAAACTGAGTTAAAAATATGAAATTAAGTAGTATTTAAGCCTGGTCATCCTCGATAACATCCATTAAATGATGCCCCTAAGTAGATTCTACTCCATTTGGCAATGCTTTTCACTAATGAGATTGCATTGATCAAAGCTAACGAAGGAGTCAAGAATCCAGACTGGAACGTCAGCTGGCTCCAGGTCCCAGAGCCCACTTACACGGCATAATGAAAGCCGTCATCGTTTCAAAGTTCAGGCTCTAAGGGCCTGCAGCCCCATTAAATGTCAAAAGGTAGAAGAAAGAGAAGGAAAGGTAGGGAGCAGATAGCAAAATTCAGCAGCGCTAAGTATGGCAAGTCAAAGAGCAATTGCTCCTGTGCACAGGGGAAATACCATCCAACTAAACCTCTAATCACGGCCCGCTGGCTCTTTGCTCCGAGCTGGAACAAAGGCAAATAAAGCAGATTCAGGTGGCAGTAATGAAAATGCCAGCACTACCCTTTTAGCTCATGAATTTCCCAGCACTTGCCAGGTCCTCCTGAAAAAAAATGACTTAATCACCTTGAGTTTGGACAAAACTCAAATACCTGCTACCCACTGGAAGGATGCTGAGTTACCACATAGTTGGATTAACAAACGCTGTGTTGTGCAGCCAGCCAGGGTACATTCGTTCATTGACCTCAGGCAGCCCCAGCTCCCCAGGACACCGTGCCACACCGACACCGGCACTGCAGGGCCAGGGAGCAGAGCAGAAACATTCCCACTCTCACTGCTGACTTGGGTCAGGACTTCTTTTAACCGAGACCTTCAGGGTCCCAACCTAACACGGGATGTCTCTAGCAATTCAGCTACACAATCCCATTCTCACTGCAACCATCACCAGTAGGAAAGTTGGTTTGGGGGATTTTTGGGAAGAGTCCCACGCTGCAGCAGAACGGCGGCAGTTCAGCACTTGGCAGAGGCAAGACAAATCCCAAATCTACCTTCCCTAACATTTGGGCATCCCTGTCATCCTCCCCAGGTGTTCAAAAGGCATCAGGCAGGTATCTCATGGGTGCCAGGCAATTGAATTTTAGCTATCTTGGGGCTTCTTGCATGACTCTTTTTCTTCTTCAAATGTAGAACATGAAGGATCAGACTTACAGAGAGACCTGACATCAAATCACAGAGCTGGGGCTTGGAAACCTGCAATACAGCAAGAGCCCAGAGAACACCACACCTCCCACACCACGCCTCGTGGAGGACAGTCAAACGGACAGAGGAGAACTGGTTACTGGTACGTTGGATTCAGTAAAAGGTGAGCTGAAAGCCATCAGACTTCTGCTACAAACACCGCACTTCTCTTTGTCCCCAGAACTTTCTAAAACACTCTAAAAATGTGCTAAATACACCAAATCCCCAGAGCTGTTCATCTTTGTAAAATTTCTTTGCATTTTTCAAAGCACTGCTGTAATTGCCAAAGCTCCAAACAGCATGACTCAAAAGCCCACACATCCCTGCACCATGAATCTCTGGAAAAGGCATGGGCAGAAAGATTATTTTCTCTATCCTGGCATTTCACAGTAGCCAAACAAATCCCTTTTTTTCCCATTAAGATCAGCCATTACACAGAAGGGAAACATCTCTGCATCATTTCAGAACAGTACTTTTCCTTAAGCAGCCACCAGCGGTTCAGAGAGGCCGATAGCAGCTGCCTCAGCTCATTTCTAAATACATCCAGACCAGGACATAATTGATCAAGGGAAGAAGTTACAGCTTGTGTTTTTTTTTTCAGGTTTTGTCTTTTTGTGTATTTAAGTCAGCCTTCTTAAACAGTTAAGACTACCAATAATATCACTTCATGCTTCAGCACAATATATGTCACTGAGATTCCTCCCCCTCTTAAAATTGCTAATGATGAAGCAGGAAAGAATTAGTAAGTCCCTCATCACTTGTATTTTCACAGAGAGACCAAACCAGGATTTTCTTTTTTCACCTCCAAATATTCAGAAGCTGCCTTTTCGCTCGGAAGCCCAAGCAATATGCAGTAGTGCATAAAAAGGCAGACTGCAGAGAGACAAGGGAGACCTACCCTACAGGATTTGGGGTTGTACCCCTCTGTAATGGGCATCCTCTGCTGGCTGAAGCAAGCCCACAGACCACAGATGCCCAGAGAGCATCTCCGACTCCAAATCTGTGTTATGACGCTGGAGCAGCCAACGCAGTCCAGCAGCTGGCATCTCTCCAGGCACCTCATCAGACCTTGCATGGGGACGCCGTTCCTGCATGACGTGCCAGAGCAGCACCCACCAGTTTCCAGTCTCCTTCGTGCCTTAGGGAACTACCTTGGCCACCGACCCCATTTTAGGGCTGATGGAGGACACAGCCTAGTGAGCATTCCCCAGTCCGTTGTACCCAGAAAGCTGAGGGAGAGAGGAGCTCCCTGGGTCCTGCTCCTCCATGTATGATGTGGTGGGAGCCAGGAGGCCCATGGCTGGGTCCTGCTGGGCAGGTTTAGTGCCCGCTGCTCTGCAGTCTCAGGGGAGGTTTTTATTTGCATCCCACAGCTCAGAAATGGAGGCTCCCCGTCCTATAACCGGACACAATAACATGACCTACAAAGCATTTTGGATAAAGAAAAGAGAAAGTGGCTTGTGAAGAGAGGAAACACCTTTATTTCTGCAGGAAGCAATCACTTTCTCAGATTTTTCCAGAGGAAGGCTGGCTGAAAAGCTTCCAATTACCCATTTTACTGAAACAGTTTCCGGCAGAGCAACAGCTGAATGCAAGGCGCATGTTGAGCCTGTCTGTACTTTAAGTAAGCCAAGGCTCCAGCCCCAATGGGCTTTTGGGGGCTCATTTTGCTTGGCCTCTGAGTGCGTTTGACAGACACTATCTCCCCAAGTCGAAGGCTCACCGTTTGATAAGGAAGGTTTGCCAACAGTCACGTGCAGATTGCTGGCCAGCAACAGCTTGCAAAAAGAGCGTGGAGTTACTGGTGGGTAATTCCTCAGCTCAGGGGAAAAGTGCACGCAAGTAACTGCCTAATGAGATGTAGTTATCCATTAGCACAGCCCCTGAAATGGATTAAACTCGAACCCTTTCTCACACCACTGGCAGCACAGGGATGCTATGGGCGAGTAACATGTGGGGGAAACAGCTCAGCATTTAAGTCAAGAGCAAAACAGATCAGCAGAAAATTCAGAAAGTGATTTACCTCAATCTCCCTCAAAAGTTCAGACTGGCCGCATGTTTCCAAATCCTCCAAAGCTTCTCCAAAAACACGCCAAAAACTATCCTCGTGAGTGGTCTCAAGGCCATTTTGGCGGTTGGGGTATCTGTTGTAACGTAGGAACCAAACATTGTCAGCACTCTTCTGCAGCGCGATGAAAGCCGCGAGGCTACAGCAAGTGTCTCACCAGTAAAAGCAGAGACTTGAAGAGTCTTCATATACAAAAGCAAACAATATGAACTTTTCAGACAAGAGTCCGAATACGAGACCTCCATGCATTTACTAACGGGGCAAGCGTCCTTCAAAGGAAGAATTAAGTTGGTGTAGTAATGTCAAAGTTCAAAGGGTAAATTAAAAAGTGCCTGTAGGAAGATTGTAGGTTTAGGAAGACGTTTTGGTGAAATAGAGAAGTGAAAGAAAAAAGGATGCGTTATGGGTAAACCAGGAGCCTCAGAGACTGTTAGTACAAAGGCTGATGGGATAGAGCTCAGATCTGAGACACAGAACACCTGAGAAGAGAGAGAAAAACACAGAGGGTAACAGACATGGTGAGAAAATGATAAATACATTAGGTATCTATGAGAGTAATAATGCAAAGGTGTATATAAAAATGATTTCCCTAGGCTGGACAAGTAAACACATACTACAGCAAGCAATATCGACAGTGTCAGCGTATAACCCATCCAAACCGAGGTTCATTTGCTTGGGGATGGCCAAGGAGGTGAGCTCAGGAGATTTCTGTGCTACACGAGTCATTGAACTCACAGCTGTGGACAGACTGTTACCAGCTCTGTCTACAGCAGAGAACGAGGACAGTGATAACCTCTCAGGCTGGTGCAAACACGTGTTAATGTGCGCACTGCGCATGTCCCGCTGGGGAGTCAGCGATTTCCCACCCAGTGGCTTCGGTGTCTCTTATCTCTGACCACAAAGTCAGGTTCAATTCTTGGACTTCTAAAGCAAACAGCAATTAAACATGCTGAAGTCCTGCAAACAAACCAGAGAAGTAAGTGACACTCTTGTCCAGCCACTGCTTACCGAACACCAGGCGCTGGGAAACCTGGGTGATCAGCGTGCAGTGTAACGGGAGCCTCTTAAAGGAAACTCTGTGGTGTTAAATCAAAATCACAATATATCCACTAATGTATCACAGGGAGATATCCCAGGGGGACAGTGACATTAGAACAGCCTTAATGCATCTTCCATGCATCTTACGCAGAGCTGCATGGACAAGGCTCCACCTCTGCAGCATCTGGCAGCTCCCTGCATGGCACAGCAGGCATCAGAGCTAACAGGAGGGGACACTTACCCACCAGGGCCACTTAGCAAAGTCAAAACATTTTATGTGAGTACAAGTCAAAGTGAGCTTAGCTTCAATTAGACATGTAATAACTCCTTGGGATAGTAACAGAACTCTTTTTCCAGATCTGTATTAATAGCAAAGTCTTTGGCAATGCTTTTCATCCAGTGGTTTCAATAGGATTTTATAGCAGGCAGAACCTCAAACACACATACTTTTGTTCCTTGTGGGATCCTGGCCTGCCTGGAGAGTGGTATCTGACACGGCTTATTTTATTTTAAATTAACCCCCTACCTTTCATCAGAATCAGCTTGTAAAGCAGCAGCCTTTAACACCAGGCAGAGAGGTCAAAAAAACACCCAGCAAGACTTTACAAAAACAAACCCAAATTTCCCCCCATAAGGAATTTTCAATTCTTTCCCCTTACTCATTTCCTTCCTCTGCTCCCAGGTTTCCTAAGAGGCAAATGTCCCTTCCAGTTACAAGTTTCTTGCCTCTCAGCTCAGCAATACAACAAACACGCCCAGGACTCGGATGAATCAGTACAGGTTCTCACACCACCAGATCAGCAGGATTTTCCAGGCTAAAGGCAGCTGGGGTTAGAGACATTTTGTTTTTCTCCCTAATACTAAGGGCTCAGCAGCATGAACCGTTTCACTTGCACTTTGATATCAGGGCTCGGAGCCCTCATTAGGGACACGCAGGGCTTCGAGGGCTCAGATTTGCTAACTTCAGCTGCCAGCGGCCTCGCTGGGAAGGCCGAGAGATCAACGACCTCTGTGAGCCGGCTCTCGCTGAGAGGCAAAACAAGAACAAAGTCTCAGCCGCTGCCAGCCTTCCTGCCAGTTTGATCATCTTTAAATAGGTGGAAATGGCCATGAGATGTTCTAAGGGTTTTGTTTTGACAAACAAAAATTAAGGAAAAATAATTAATAACGAAAAAAAGAACCGACAGTAACAACACGACACACACGACTATGGGGACTCTGGAGGATGTCGAGGGGAGGGTTAGTTACGAAGCAACGAGGCTTGGCTACCGTGTGTGGGTCAGTGGCCAGGGCAGATCCAGCAGGGTTTTCACCCAAAGAGAGGGGCAGCTGTAGCCTCTTCTGTGTGCTTGGGTGGCCCTGCAGGATTTCTGTGGCTGAGGTGGGGGATTAGCTCGACCGTGCTCACTTGGCATGGTTTTGTTTGTGTGTTGGAAGGGCCGAGGTGTGATGGAGAGATCCAGCCACACCTTTGGGAGATTTTAACTTGAACATGCAACCTCATACCGGTCCTACAAGAGTTTTGGTTGGTCTTTTTGGCTTTGTGACAGTATTGTGAAGATGCATCCTCACTCATCGTGTCTGGCCAACACAACGGAGGACAGCCCTGGCCATGACTACTTATTACACCTGAACTATGTAAGTACTGCAGCCTTTACGTGGCAGGAGTAGAAGACATGGTAAGAACCTGTGGTCCATGCAGCTGAGACTGCCCTAACTCCAGATATAAATGTCACCTGGCCATGGCAGATGTGCTGCAGAGCTATGCCCAGGGCAAGCTGGCAACGTGGAGGTGGTTTGACAGAGCACATCAGCACCCCAGCACCCCACCCCACAGCTGCCTGACGCCAAGATGGGGGCATCACTGGCCCTCCCCACCTCTGGCTGATCCAATCCATCACATTCAGTGTCCTTGCACCCTCATGTTTGCCCCCCTGCCTCCTCCCTCCCCTCCGCACCTGCTGGGCTTGTCCCAGTCGTCTTCACTGAAGCTTCCATCCATGTAGGGGTAGTTTTTCCTGGGGTCCCCAGGAGGGGTGCTGCTCTTTTGCCTGCTGTGTCTCCATTCGTGTGGATGAAGGGCAATGCCTGCAGCCTGAGGTATGTATGTACCTAGGGAAGGCAAGCAGCAGGGGAAAAAGAGGTTAAAACCCTGGTTAGAAAACTGAAGCGGATAAATCATACTAGGCCAAGACAGTTTCCTTCCCCAAAACCCAAACCTGAGGCCATCTGGATTACACTCGGCTTCTAGTTCAGTCTTTCACAAGGGGACATTCTTCTCATCTCTTCTTGCTTTAACCAAACCAACTTCTCATGATCAAATGGACCATTAATATGAAACCAGACAAGTTTCACTAAGTTTGCCCCCAAGGACTTTCCCATACTGCAAATCCCAGATGCAAATCCAACACTTGTCACAAGACCTCCAAGTCTCACGAGGAGCTGCCTGGACAGAAACCTTCCAAAACAGAGCATTCATCAGCAACGTCAGTGCCATCTGCAATGGAAATAAATCTCCCAAGTCCCCTGCCTACCTCCTGCCCATTCAACATTTCAAAGAAATCCCCACAGCCCTTCCAAGAAACACCATGCACTTCCATCACACGCTGCGCCAAACGAACAGGAAGAGGTAACGGAGAAACACATAATTAAGGGAGACTTGACCTCCCAAACAGCTAAGAGCATTGGAAATACCCGAAGACATTGCCAACAGTTTCTTTGAAAATGCCAAGGCCTGTTATTTCACTTAGCTGAGTGTTTCCTCTGTGTGTTTTTAAAGGTTAGACTGCTCTGGAGAGAGCCCCAGAAAAGGGCCTGCCAACATTTTACAGCAGTCAGGAGCAGTTGCTGTTTGCCAGAGCAGGAGAACAAGGTCCCTGGGTGCAGGGCCCTGCAGTCGGCAGGTGGGAGGCTGGGGCTGGGCGCAGGGGGCCAGGGACCGCAGGGACACGTGTGTGGAGCTATCACTTGGGTGCCACCGCTTCTACCTCCTCCTTCCCGAGAGAAGGGCTGGATCCCTGGGATTCAGAGCCACCTGGTGGCATGTTCCCACCAGGCCCAGCACAGCTCCCTCGCTCGAACACTTCCCTGATTGGTTTCCTAAAGCTGTGGATGAAATTAAAACCCATGAGGCTGCAGAGACTGATGTGGGGGGTTCCATTCAGAGCGTAAACCCCAATCTCCAGACGCAGTGCTGCCACGCAGCAAAGTGCAGTTACCAGGAAAGATCAGACAGCCCCTGAAGCGAAGCTGATGGCTATGGATACGGGGTAACGGCATCAGCCCCACTCCTGGGAACTCTGTGTTCAATCACTCACTCTCAGTTTACAGGTAAAAGCAATTGCTTTGCTAAATCCAATGTCTGACTTGGGTTAGCATCCAATTAGATGGAGAAGGATGGCAGCATTAGGCAGGCCAGGGGATTCCTTGTTAACAAAGTTTCCTGTCGCAAATGCACTGCCAAATTAAGACTTCAGACCAAGGAGGATGCAGGCATGATGGAGGTGAGACGTTGGCACCATGCTATCCTTTGAGGTTTTCTAAGTCAGACTGCACAGGCAGACACCTTGCTCAGTACACTGGAAGCACTTTGCAAGCCCGCTCCTGGAGCACTCCTCCTTGTTTTCATGTAATATTCAGGACAGCAGTCTTTTCACCAATTTCCTTTTGTGGAGTTGATTCAGGGTTTTGTTTTGTTTCAACATGGGCTAATAGTAGCTTACATCACTAAATCTGAACTGGAATAACAATGTTCCAGTGCTTTTCTCCAAGAGAAAATCTATTCCCACGACTACAGCATCCTCCATCCCAATTCCATATGTCCGCCAGAAACCACAGCTGAATAAACCTGGCCTCCAAGACACATGTTCATCTGATCACTCACTGGAGAATTAGAGATCCTTTCTTGCAGCATTACCTTAATTATTTTGTTAAGTGAGTGCTTCTAGTCACAAGACGTTCTTGTGGATTTTAAAACATCCTGAAGAGGATTAATACATTCTACATGGCCTCTCTGGAGAATTAAATGTTAGCTATGGGCCAAATATTTTGTAAGACATATGGACAGCGAATACTTCCCTGGATTACGTGAATTATGAAGTGTTATAATGGTTTTGAAAATTCTGTGAACAGTACAGTGTCATATAAGCCAGAAGAAACATGCCAATAAAAACCTAAAATATATATATATAACTCAGAGCACCACATGAGCACATTTTAAAATACATTTTGTTCCTTGCTGAAAGCGAGAAGCTGTGCAAGTGCAGTCAGACCACGGTCTTTGGCTCACGTTCAGTCTCTAGACAGGCTTGGATGATCAGTCTGTCTTCGCCTTGGGCCAGAGACCCGTGAGAAAAGACACCCTGTCTTACCTTGGCTTCCATACCCAGCATCAATGCCGGAGCCATCCCATGACTCCATAGCACTGTCCACACTAGGAATTGTGGTTGAGTATATCTCAGAGAGCTTGCTCGTTTTCTGGGAGTCTGTCAGTTCATCTTCAGGGTCGCTCACTTCATTTATACTCCCAGACTTCTTGGGATAGGGTTCTGAAATCAGAATAAGCTGCTTTAGTAGGCACAAAGAACAAGCCTCAGGGAAAGGCTTAAGTAGACGTGGGAGCAATCCCAGGTAGTGTCCATGTCTTAAGAACCTCTTCAGCTCTTCAAAAGTAACTGGGAAAGGCCTATGCATCACAATTAAAAGCCATACTCTTATACCAAGCTGAAGGAAAAGAAAAAAAAAATAAAATAAAAAAAACTCAGAGTTTTCAGCTCTTTCTCTTCCAAGGAGCCTCAATTTTTCTAAGTTTCAGCAAGATTCCCATGACAACACAACCAGGTCCCAAAGTACCGTAGCTGAATTTGTAACGCTCTGTCAAAACTGTACAACCTCGGATCAATTCAGGGCTGATCACCACCCCCCCCCAAGAGTCTCCCATGCAGTCTCAAGACAATGGTGGAACTCCTGGATCTGATATTTTGAGGCTGAATTTCCCCTGATTAGTGATTGGAAAATTGAAAGCTGAATGCAGATGATGAAAGTCAGGCCTCCTCATTCATTATTTTAGCAATAATAGGCCTTTATTATCATTACACAAATTCCTTTTCAGGCAAAAGCTATACAAGGAATGGTTTCTCAGCACAAGCATTCTTGTACTGAGTATTTTAAAGTCCTCATTGATTAGATATCCTGTTAGCCATCCACACCCTGGATCTCCAGCTTGCAGAGCATTAGCTGGGATAAAGAAGCCCTTTGAAAGTCTGCATTTTGTCAATGAGGACAGATTATCTTACCAAACAAAGGCCACTGTTCTAAAAGTCCCAATTTTCCGACCATTCAGAAGATTGCTCATCACGATTAACTCAAGATTACCTTGAAATTTCAATTACACCTGCTTCATTCTCAGAATGATTAACAAGTCTCCAACTGGCACTTGCACGTCAATTATTTCAGCAAGTGGCTGTGACGGTGCTAAGTGTCAGCAGGGGAAAAAAGAGTATTTCAGAGCAAGGATCAAGACATCTGCCTTCAGGAAATGAGTCTGAGGCTTCTTGAAGACGGATCAGTTCCCAAATTCTACTTCTAATTTGGTAGGTTGCTTCTTCCTGCCTAGGCTTCCTCTATAGCTGCATTGCCATACGTTTACCAAACTGCTTTGAAATCTACAGAAAAGTTATGATTAAGAGTGATACTATTTTTCCAGAAGCAATACAGACATCCCATAGGCCACTTGCATCTCCCCCACCCCAAACCAGGCTCCCCAACTCACTTTCCATCTGTTTCTTGATCTTCAGAGTTACTGTCTCCCCCGCCATCTGCAGCAGGTGGATGGCTTCGCTCAGCGGTTTGCCCTTGAGGCTCACGTTATTAATTGCTAATATTCGGTCACCGACATGGATGGCTCCAGTTCTGGAGAGAAAGGGTGCTGTTAGAAAGTTCGGAGAGGCAACCTGTCTCAGGCCATTATGTTGCTGCTTGAAGCAATAGCAAATTAACTCAGCACTTTAAACATGTCTCGGTCTCCCCCTGGCATGCTGTACACTCCTGATCATCCCCTGTGTATGTACGTACATATATGCACATGAACATATGCACACCTTGGGTCCCAGGCCCCTCAGTAGCTGAGATTTCAGGCCAATTTACATTTGAAACTCTTCAAAGCCATGAGGATATATACGGTAAAAGCACAAGCACTTCCAGTGGGAGATACCTACAGGTCATCACACGTGGAACTGATGGACAGAATTATGAGACAAAGCTAAACAAAACCCCAGCCCAACACAGACTGTGCAGGCAAACATGAGCTGAGCCGGTTGTAAATCAGCTTACGATATCTTTTAAGTCTCCCCCCATGCAGCTAGAACACTGTGACACATCCCAGCACTGACTTTTGCTCTCGGATAAATAAATCCTTAGCTTCAGCAACAGCCAGGAATGAACTAACAAGTCACGGCAGTTCTCCTCCTCCTCCATCCTTCTCCCAGCGTCTGCCCACAAACATGGGCTCACTTTACCTCTCCTGTGTTTGCTGCTCTGCTCGGAAAGAGCAGGCAGGGCAGGACATGCTCATTGCCAGATCTGGCAGCCAACACAGGACCTTTCACTCGCTGCTGGCTGGGCTGTGCTCACCACACACACACTCCAGATCCCCAGTGCCAGCACACAAGAGCAGCAATCCTCTGCTCCAGCACTGCTACGAGGTTTAGCTAACAGGGACCTCACATGATCAAGCCAAGAGAAGATGCAAATCTGCATGGTCATATCTTTTTGCCCACGGCAATGTGCCTCTCTCCAAGGTTGTATCTAGTCCAAACTGGACTGCTGCTCCTGCAGAAACAGGATTTGATATACTATCACAGGCGAAACAGCTACTTGTCTTTCCCCCAAATGTGGAACTATAGCAGGAATGCTGCTGCAAAACATCTACAGTATGTAAATCTAACCAGGAAATGTAGCCAAAGAGCAGACAGAACTGATCAGCCTGCTGCTGCTGCTAAGATATTTGGACAGGTTGTCACGATGGTCCTGACCAGCCACTAGATGTCCGTCTTGTCCCATCCAAATCAGCCCTAAAAAGCCCTCAGGGAAAATTTGAGTCTTCAAATAAATTATAGATTGCACTGCAACCAGAATACATCTTAAAAGTTTCATCTACATAGTCGAAAAAAATCAAGCTTAACTGCTGACACTTTAAATGTGATCCTTTGCTGGCTGCAGTGGCTTAGATTTGAGGTTCTCCTGCTGCAGCACTGAGGCAGGAGCTGATCTTTCATGGGGATGCATCTCTACCCCACCGTGCCAGCCCAACCTCAGAACAACACAACTGCTCTGCAGAAACTGAGACTCCCTCAGCAGGGAAAAGAGATGCAGTTGAAAGTAAGTACTGTTCAGCCAGGTGTTCTTCTGGGGAGAGAAAGTAAATCAAAGCGCAGTCCCCTGAGCTGTCCACCTCCAGGCACTCCTCTGGGGACAAGCATGCTGAAGCCAAACAGGAGGGACAGAGAAAGCTATTTCTAGCAGATGACCCCTGTGCCTCTCCATCATCATTCAAACAGCCTTAGGAGCTGCACGCCCCATGCCCCTTCTTGCCTGACCAATACCAGAAAAGCAGAATTGAGCAACAGTAAGTTTGAGGGATTAAATGGGGCTGCAACCACTCTCCAGAAAGTGCTAGAGGAGAGGTGACTGCATGCACATGGCAGGGATTTGCCTAGGGCATGGGCAGTTCCAGCATCCCTTTTCCCCCTTGTAAACATGGACTGGTGCTGAGCGCTCCTGGACAAAACCTTCTTGCAGCCACCCACATCTGTTTGACCAGGTGGCAGTAGAGGAGACTGTTAAACCCTTAAAAGCACTTCAAAACGTCAGCGATTGCTGAAAATTGCTCCCAGAGAACCATTAAACCTCGACCAGAATTGAACAGTATTGGCCCTTCCCCCAGGAAGGAGGAAAACAAGTCCCATGGTCAAGGGTAAAGCCACAGGCACTGAAGGAGAGGAAACAGAGACTGTGGAAGCGAGCCATCACTCGACACCAACCCAATATCCTGAGCTGCCTCTGTACTGTCCTATAGGATGGGACACGTACAAGGGGAAAAATGCTCAAGGTCAAGATAAAACCCAAGTCATCTGCATCTGAGGTTTTTCAGCTTAGACAGCCTGTCACCCGCTGTGACAGACGTGTGACAGCTCCTAGAGGACACCCTGCCTTCCCCAGCACCGAGCGAGCTGCCAGAGCTGCAGTGCAGACCTTCATCTGTGCCTCTACAGGTGCGGCTGGTGTGTGCCCCTTATCAAATGCCAGGACCCAGCCCACCCCACACTGTCACTGCTGAAACGTGTGCTTTGCTCCAGGAAAAGCCAGGCGCAGCTTTGGGTTTAACTCCTGACCTTCAGAAACCCGTCGCGCCCTTCAGAGCACGGGTAGAAGGGTGCCTGTGGCACAGAGATGGGTAGTGTTGACAGGGAAGGGACAAACTATTATAAAACTAAGAACACCCCTCTTCCCTTGACAAGGTCAAGCCACTCCTTTCTGCTACTCCCAGGAGAAAAATGTGCACCATCTCAGCAGAAAAATATGCACGTTCCTGCAGGCAGGCTTCATCCCAGTGCTCCTCACCCTCCCTGCAAGAAGCCAAGGTTACCTGGAGAAATCTCCATGCTGCTTTGTCCCCGCACTGCTCCCCCGTGCAGGCACTGTTATTCCTTAGCCTGCTACAGTGAACGTGCTGAATGGCTCTGTTGCTCTTCTCAAAAGGCTTTTCATTCCTTGCTGTGTGCCAGTTCCTGATCAAAATTCAATAGCACCGCAGCACTTGCCTGCACTACTTTTCTCCGCAGAGCAGTCACTGATGTGCATCCAAGTTCGAAGGAGGAACAGCCACAGCACTGCAAAGGGAACTGAGAGCAGCAAGGGTACAAAACCATCTACTGATGCCTTACATCATCTGGGTTTCTTGTCCTGAACCTCTCTCACGCTGGGCTGCAGGTACAGTGCAGGACTGCTATGCAGAAAAGCCTCGGATACCCCAGGGCTGGTGTTTTCTAGTGAAAAAAGACTGAATCCTACAGAGTTGGGCAGTGACACAAAATCCCCAAAGAACCACTAATGACTGAGCTCATCCCTCTTCCTTACTTCTTACTTGGTTTTCTGTACCAAAGGAAAGCAGTGGAACTGTGCAGCACTGCACTTGCTAAGAGCTCGAGGAACCCGAGGCAGAAAGACGCACTGAGCTGTTACCGTTCAGCTCACAGGGAGCTTGGCCTTGAACCAGAAAGAAGCAAAAGGGCAGATCTGAAGTCAAACTTTGCCAAGGTCTAGCACTTCACACCTATTTGTTCAGAGCGTTTTTGCTGCCTGTTAGGCAGCACAGGGTAAAGCAGCCCCATGAGAAGCATGAGTCAGGGCTGCTGAAGTGATCTATTTACACGTCACAGCTACCGTACAGACAGAATAATTAAGATACAGCGCATGACTCAGTTCCACCTTATATTCTCAGCAGTGTCCTGATCCTTTAAATCCCACGCATGCACATACATTCAGACTCAGGCACACACACACAGCCAACCTCCCCGGCTGCTGAAGGTAAATCTGCACCTACATTTATGCAGTATAAATGTCTGCTGCTCTCAGGCACACCAGCCCTGCACTGAGATACCTCCGCGTGTAACAGAACAAGCAACCAGCAAAGACAGGTCGGAAGATCCCCAAAATCTGTGGTTTCAGTAGGACCCAGTGCTGCCATGGCCATAAGCTGTGGTTTAGCAGCAGGTGAACCCTGGCCAGAAGGATACGGTGCTTTCCTGGGCAGGCTGGGCATTCCCCACGCAAAACGTAGCATGGGAAATCAGATTAGGAAGCTCCTCAGTGGAAGAGAGGCAGATAAACACATTTTCCCAGCTGCTGCATTCAACCAACGCACTGGATCTGACTCTGCCAGAAGTGCCCTGCTTTGAGCCTCTCTCACTGCCCTAATGGCACGGTCCTGACCAGCCCACATGTCCTGAACGTGGGTCTGAAAAGCCAGGCCAGCAGGGCTGCTCCTGCTTCACAGTGCGTGGTACCTTCATAGCACCTTTCCTTTCTAGCAGACTAAATGGCTAAAACACCTAAGAAGAGTTGCAGAGAAGGCTTTGTAAGCTTCAAGACCCTTTCCCACATTAGCTCAACCCCTCTGTTCCCAAACCTCACCTTTCTGCCAGCCCTCTTTTTGTCAAGCCTGAAATGACGATGGGATCGAAAGGTTCCTCTGTCCCAGAGATGGTTATCCCCAAGGGCCCGCCGTATCGCTTCAGTTCCACCGTGTAGATAATAGCACCGGTCGTCTCCTGCTCATCTGGAAGAGAAAACAGGAACGCTGAGGTTTTTTCATTTGCCATAAGGAAGAGGTCATAAGAAAGACTTGCAGCACTTAGAAGCAAAAGCCTTCAGCCTTCAGCTATGCTCATACTGAACAGGGTTTTAACCTTCCAGACTCCATTTAAGGGCAGAATAACAAAAATAAACTATAATCAATTGGAAAGTGGTGACCAGACAGGCAGAAGCCCTTATCTTTGTTGGTTTGCACTACCTATTGGGAAATGTCATTAAAGTGGACAGGCACCAGTTTGCATCAGGATTTCTGTACCAGAGTTATCTTCATCCTTTCTAATCTTCAATTTGACCAGGTCTTCACATTGCCTCAAAATCTGCACAGCATCCTCCATTGAGCAATTGTCGAGTCGGATGTTATCAATGGCTAACAGCTTGTCTCCCGGCTCCAAGGTGCCAGTTCTACGGGGAAAGAAGAAGAAAACTAAAGTACATTTGTATTTGCCTTTCAAATCCTGCAATGCATTCCGTTCTGCAGTGGTGATGACAATATTAGCTTTTTCTTCCCCTTGATCTTTTCTGGGAAACAAGCATGAACAGAGGCTGGGGCAATTATAACTTACAGAGAGGAAGTTTGTGTAAACATGCATCAACCCAGAACAAGGCAGGAAGATTACTTTGGCACTCTCACCTACTTAGATATACAGCCTGGGTAACCTACGGCACTCAAAACTGCTTGATGTTTAACTGACAAATATTCTACCTTTTCTTAGAAACCAGCCCTCCAGCAGCACTAAATCCCCCTGAACGCCTTGCTATGAGGCGTTGGGATCAGAGGTGCAGTCAGTGAAGGCTGAGTTATTTGCACAGTTCTCCACCAGCACCCACAATTCAATCACTCCACTCATGTGGGCAGGAGCTGAGACGTAGCAAACTACCTGATGAGCCATTGCACCTTATGGGATAGAGATGTATATATATGGTACCCTTTAGCACATGGTCTTAGATGTTGAACATTCATCTGCAGGGTCTGCAGACCTCTGAATCTGCCTTGGCCATCTTCTCCATTAGCTCAACTCTTATTTGCTTCAGTAAAGACAGTTTTTATTCCAAACCCTACAGTGGTCTAAGAAAGCCTCTCAGGCTGACATCTGCTTGAATGCTGGCAAAATCCAGACCCAAGTGCTACTGCTGGGGCATCTTTCTGCCTCTCCTTACCGAAGTGGGTATTTTGCCTTGGGTTTAGCAGGCAGGAATTTCTGTACTCACCTATGTGCTACACTCCCCTTCTTGATGTCAGAGATGATCAAAGGCTCCCCAGGCTTTCTGCTCGCAGCTGTAAAAGAGACAAATGGGTACAACGCTCAGCCTGCTACCCAGGAGGGGAGTGGTTAATGGGGAAAAGGAGCTCGGAGGAAAGGGGATTTATGTTCCTTTGACAAAACGGTGCTTCACACTTGAACTCTGGAAGCCACAACTGGGAAGGAAAAAAAAAAAAAAAAGAAGCAGCAGCAAATCCCTGCAAATGTTTGTTGGTTGTCCTTTAAGGGGAGGCTGCGAGGTGTCCAGCAGCAGGAGGTGAGACTGCCCAGCACTGCTGACACCCCCTGGCTATGGCAGGGGGCAGGCATTAGCACTGCTGCCTGGGGAGCACCCAGCTCAGAGCTGTGGCTAATATAAGCCCTTCTCTGGTTTTGAAGTAAAGTGGCCTGGGAAATTTTCCAGGCGGAAAATAACCGTGGAAAAATTAGGAAAAACAAAACAAAACAAATGTTTTCCAGTTGTTTCAGCTCCCCAGGCCTCTTTGTCGTACAACTGGGTAACTCAGGGCTGCTCTCAGCTCTGGAGCTGGTGGTGTCCAATCTTTCCCTCCCCAGCCTGAGGACTTTTTCAGCCCATGTGAGATGTGAGGATGCATCTCTGGGAGCATTTGCATTTTCAAATTTGCTTGCAAGACCTGCTGCTGTCTTGAGAAACCCAAGAGAGATTTCTGACTTGACTCCCTCCTGACCTCCCTGCCATCCACATGACGAAGAGACACCGAGAGCATCCCCTCCACCCCGCATCACCCCTCCTGCCTCGCTATGGGAATGGCATCATCTCATTTAAAGCTGACGGAGCTGCTGTGCCAAAACTGCGTGGGAAGGAAGAAACCCGCAGCATCTGAATGGATTGGGTGCAGGACAGAGATTACAGCTCCTGAAAGGTGCCTGGCATCAACTGCAGAGATCTACCTGCCTGAGCAGGAGCCAGAGAGTGCCCCACAAAGTCAGACATAAAGGAACAAGCCCTTTCTCTTACCAACATCTCTGCTCTAGCTTTTTTGTTGTTTACATTCATTTATGAGATTTAAAAACATACGTGCTTTGACCATCACCTTTAAGGATATCCTCTCGCAGATATAACCAAAACTGCACCGAACAGCACGAAAAGCCAGCCAATTTCAGCTGCAACACGGCTGATTATAGAAGTCGGGTCAGACAGTGAAGAGCAGACTGTGATGGATTTTATAATAGTCAAAGCAATGCGACTGCTGGATGATACGGGGCTAGGAAGAATTATTTTCCCCGTGTCTTACTGGATCGTGGTGCTGGGCAGGTTTCATCTAGATACTCAAACTCAGCTTGTGGCTGGGGGTCAAAGAGAAGCAGGGGGGCTGTGGAGGTTCACCGAGGTTGCCTGTACTCAACCTGCCTGTGGCATAGAGCAGTTACATCGAAGGCAGATTGCGAGGTGGGAGGGAAGCACAGGGTGCAGACAGAGGCTGATGTGGCAAAAATCAACGCAGAAGCACCCGCGCTGACTGAGAAGGGCACACAGCATGGACTAACAGCCCAGGGGATGGAGATGTACGGCCCCCTTATCGCTGCTGCTGTTCTCTCTCTGAACACAGGACGTGTCTTTGCAGCCCAGAGGTGCACACGGTGCTGGTCCAAGTGGCAGTGATGGGAGACCCCGAGAGCTCACCCCTCCACCCTGCCCCAAAGGTGCCGAGCCCTGGCACACAGCGCTGCGTGCTTAATCGCTGCCTAGCCTGGTTCTGTCAAAGAGATCCAGGTTAGCACAAATGCTTTTCACCGTGAGGCTTGTTTATTAGGTTCAAAGCAGAGGCGGCATGACAGAAGGGGGTTAGGGAGAGAGCCGCAGTCCTGGTGGAGGGCTGGGGGCCGCCACCTCTAAACCCGACCCAGGCACTGCTGGGGTGATGTGTCCGGAGACTGCCAAGACTCAAAAGAGCAAAGAGAGGGGGAAGAAGAACAACGATAGAAAGCACCATGCCTCGAGCTCTGCAGCACATATTTATCTCAGCACCTGCCTTACAGACCCTGCGACACCCTGGTCCTGGCAAGACCCCGTCCTTCTGCAGCCCTGCAGCAGGTGTCAGCACTGAAGGCAGCACAGCTCTTCCCGTATCCAAAGGGAATGCTTTGTCCATTAGGAAACAAAACAAGTTTTAAGGAAAAGTTGTTGTGGGTTTTGGGTTGGTTGGCCTTTTTTTTTGTTGTTGTTTTTTGGAAGTCATATTTTCCTGATAGATTTTCTTGAGACCTCAGTTAAATGGAAGAGAAGAAGAATGGCATATCCTTGTCCCTACCAACAGAGCATCCAAACTGTGCTTTAATACGTGGCAGCCCTCTCTTTTAAATAACCACTTAGTATGAAATTGAAAGGCTGTATAAAACAGTCATTATTAGTCAGTACCTACAAGGCTGAAGGGTAAGTTAAAGAGACTTAATGAATAATCATTCTCTCAAGAGGCGTAAGATACAAAGTTAAGATAATGAAATTTCAAAGCACTGAGCATCACTTGCTGTTCAATTTAAAAACCAGTAGTTACTAACTCCAGTCATTCGCCTTTGGCATACCACTGCCCTTCCTCATGCCCCAGTGCCCAGCTGGGATTTGTGCTTTCCACCCCTCAGCTGGGAGCAGGCTGGCTCCAGCCACGCTGGGATGCACATTGCCAACAACCCCGGGCTTCTGGAGCAGGGCGACGACCTGCCTGTGCAGCAGCTGCCCTCTCTACATGGGAGAAAGCTGCAATTTCACTGAAGCTGTGACTCACTCTAGGGGCAGAGGCTTTGGGTTTGTAGATTCCTGGAGAGATTCTGGATAAACTTTTTCCAATTCACTTGCAATTAAAAAATAAATAAAAAATCAAAACAAACAAACAAAAAACCCCACAACTTTGAAGTATATTATTACTCAGAGTTGTGGTGTTTGGAGTTAGGACACGTGCACAGGTGAGTAAAGCCTCTTTATCCATTCATTTCTGCTGTCCAGGTGGTTATTTCTCTTCAAAGAGCATTGCTTTGGTAATTCTGTTTGCTGGAGGAAGACATGGTTTGGACGTCCAGCCTTGCCTCCAGGTCTTGCTTTCCCATCTGTAAAGCAGAGACAGCAGCACAGGCAGCCGAGGGAAGAGATGGATTGAGAGAGGCAGGAGCTGGAGTACAGAAAGTCACACCTCCTCCTGCAGGCACTCTGGTTGTAGCCTCCATCTGCCTTGTGGTGGAAGCAAGCTCTTTTTCAGATGGATTTGTCTTTTTGGTGGGTTTACCAGTACAGAAGGTAGTTTCAATCTGCTCCAGTGACCCAGAGAAAGCTCCATAAATAAACAGTTGGTGAATGCAGAAGCGTAGGGTGGGGGAGAAACTCACCATGAAAACACTGCCTGGCGGTGGTGACAGGGCAGTGATAAAAAGGTGAATTGATCAATACTGTTATTTACTTTTTATAAATTGCTTTCAGTCTCTCGCCACCTCTGCTGGGATTCTGGCTCACTCGGCATTTACTCTCTGATGGATGACAAGGCCAGAAACACATGTCCTTTCTGTGGTTTTAATAGAATGCATAGTGACTCGCATCGGTAAATTATTCCCCTCCGAGGAGCACAAGCACATATCTCACACGCATCAGCGCCTCAAATGGTTATGAATGCCCTTCGTTATCGATCATGCTGAAGCAGCACTCTGCCAATGTGTAATTAAAGAACTTGTAATAATGCCATACAAACACATTTAAGAAAGCAAATGCTTATAAAGGGTGGAAAAACAAACAAAATCAGAAACCCAATAATCTCAGGATAGCTACGGAATGAGAAGAGAAATAAAAGCAAATCAGAATTGATTACAAGGAGCAGCAGTGAAAATCCAGTCCCCAGAACCCAACTTTTCCCTTTTCCCGTTATTAGTTTTAGCAGCAGGTGCGTAAATTATCAGCATCTCCGGCAGAGTATTTATACCACCGCAGATCTATTTCCTTTCAAAATCTCCAGGTAGCAAAGCCTGGGCAGAACATCTCACTTCGGTAACTGCATCACAGTGAATCAGCTGCAAATCTCTTCAGGTTGCAGTGTTAGCGTGGGGTAAGACAGGAGACTCCAGGGACACGCTGCCGCTCACAGACACGCTCTGCCAGGCTGGTGGCAGGTCCTGGGTTAATCCAGCACCAGCAAAGCCGGGCTGGGTCAGCTCACAGATCCATCTCGTCACTAGGACAGTGATTACCCTGCTTAAGAGACTTAATCGAAGTTATCTATCCATCCAAATTCTGGCTTTATCACCCCCAAGCAGATATAGTACCTGCTCCTTATCTGCAGCACTTCACTGCAAGGGCACAGGAATTGATTTGTTAAGTTATAGAAAGGTAATTTGATAAACATGCTATATAAAGCATTAATGCATAGCTAAAATGAACGGTAATTTCAATATCTAAGCAGCAACAACAGCCCTGTACCCTGCAGTGAATTTCGCAAGTAGCCCTTGAAAAGGATATTTGAGACAAACAAAAAAAAGGAAAACAGAAAAGCAATCTTCTCAACCATCATTCTCCAGAGGCTAATGGCAAATGAGCATCTTATTTTAAGAGGTCAGGTATTGAGCATACAAGAAAACATGGCATTTAGCTTCTCGCTGTCGGAGATTTTAATTTGTAGGAGGTTTACAGAAAAATCTACAAAGGCGTAACTGCATCATTAGAACTGAATGCAACCAGGAAGATCAGAGCACTTATGCCATGTGTTCTGCTAATGGAGACAAGCGGTTCAGGCTAACAAGAGCCAAATCTTCACATCATTGTGTCAAAAATCTCACTTTGCACTTCTTTGCATCCCCAGCACTCAGAGCACCTCCGAGGTCTCTGCAAACAACTGAGCTTCGCCACCCACACATCCCTTTGAGCTGTGCGGAGGCAGAAAGGAGCATGCACTTTGCTTTTCAATAAGAGCAGCAGTTTTAAAAACAAACGCAGCCGTCTCCCTGTGATAGACACCGAGGCACTGGAGTTTGGAGAAAATGAGACTGATTTTGCTGGCTTCTTGTCCCTTCACCCCTGCACGAAACACAAGGAAGCGGTGCAAACAAGGCAGCTTTGCGTTGCTCATTTTCATTTAGCAAAGGTAGGAGGTCGAAGTAAGGTTTAAGGGCATCAAGGTGGCATTGAAATACAAAGCAGAGTCAGTAAGAGATTCATCCCTTGGATTTCCTATTCATCCCCACCAGGGGCTCACTCAGCCCCAACCCTTCTCTTCCTAGCAAATGCAGACACCCTGAAGAAGACAAGAGGCCTCAGCAAGCACCTACCCCTAACCAGGAGCAAGCACAAAGCCTTTCAGCATGTTCATACCAAAAACAGCAGTTCCTGCCCTCTTCATACAGAAACCTCTTGGGTTTCCATCCTTTTTATGAGGTTTTCCAACAGATTTATGATTCCTCGGGCAGCCAGCTCCATTATATGAATTCTTTCAGTGTATCCATCAAGACTCCTGCTTGCCCCCACCTTTATTTAGCCCATCTCCCGATTAGCTCTAAGAGTCACAGCACAGTAAAAACTTGACCACTTTTATTCCTGTAGCACTTCTCCGATCAGGTTGTAACACTTTTTGCCCGTGTAAGAAGGCAGCGGCAAACCCTCCTACACAGAGGAACGGTCTATAGATGAGCCAAATGGAAGCCAAGACGTAAAACTCAGTGAAAGCAACTCATCTTTCATCACAGAATCACAGAATTTCTAGGTTGGAAGAGACCTCAAGATCATCGAGTCCAACCTCTAACCTAACACTAACAGTCCCCACTAAACCATATCCCTAAGCTCTACATCTAAACGTCTTTTGAAGACTTCCAGGGATGGTGACTCCATCTACAGTGTGCCACAAAGTTTTAGAACTAACCCAAGTCTGAAGCCACGACAGCAAAGGTCTTGTACTGATTCCCCCAGGTTGTCATCTATTTAATCTGGCCCAGTTTCTGCTACTTTAAACAGCAGCTATATGCCTTTCCTTGTCAGAAGGAAGCTATAAAGCTTGGATCTATACAAGCATTCAAATCAGGACTGGGAGGAACTGAGCAAAACAGAAAAGGGTTATTTTTACTTCTTATTTCTTGCTGCTTGCATCACGCTCCTGCATGCACATCATGTCTCTGCAGGAGGTACTTACCATATGTCTGCTTGCTTTGGTTTAAATGTTTGAAACTGGTGTATTTATCTGCCTGGTCAGACACAGAGTGACAAAATGATGATATAATTCGCTAAGGGTCTTGTGGAAATAGGCTTATGTGGACTAATATATGAAAACAGAATTAGGATGCAACTAGCATTTCATCCTTGCCACCACATTTTCTGGATCTCTATCTTTTGCTCTGTTTGTGAATACAATTTGTGTTTTGACTCAGCGAAGGACTGAGGTATATCTTAAGTTTATGCATATGCGTTTCTTAAACAGTGGCCTGTAAACACAGGCAACAATCAAAAAGATCAAATGTATTATATTATTAAAAAACTGCTTTGCAATTGACAATGGGCATCGAACTATTTAAAATCCAGGGTTCAGTTTCTTTTTATTTAGCAATGATATCCAAAAAGTGTGTGAAATCAATTTTTTAAACACATTTCAAACGAAAACATTTCCAACATTAAAATACGTTTGAAGTGTAAATGCCCATCCAAAGCAGATCCCATTGCAGTGAGACGCCACAAATAAAAACTAATATTCTTGCTGGCAACCTCCGGGTTCATTTTGCTCTCCAGCCCCAGATCAAATCTAAGCTTTGAAGCTTAAAAGGAGTGAAATCCTGGCCACGCTCAAGCCAGCAGCTTGCTCCCAGATCCATCACCCCGGGTTTCTACCTGAGACTGCAATGCTAACGCAGCAGGCGAGGGACCCAGCGTGAGCTGTGCCTCACTGGGCTGCTGCCCCATGCCCCTGCTCTCCCACCAGTGAACGGCATTACAGACACCCCACTGCTTTTGGAAGGCACTTTGATGTCTTCAAACGGTAATTGCTAGCAGTCCAAATGTTAGATGCTGTACTGTTGTTTCTCAGAAATATCTCATGGCACAAATAGGGGAAACTGGGAAGAGGGAGAAGAAATAACATGGGGTGCAAAGTCATCACCCTGCAGATGTTCAAGTCTCTCCTAAGACACACACCCCTTAGACCAAAGCACCTTGAATTAACTCACAAACTAATGCTGTAAACACCAAGAAGTAATTGCAAATAGTTTATCTATTTCAATGAAGCCTACTTTGAAAGTGTCCTTAGTGACTCCATCCCCCAGACGCAGCTGAGTCCACGCTCCTGACAGCTGAGACAAAAGATCCCCTTACTGCAGTTTCACAAGCTGCTTTGTTCCATCTGAGATGTGGTGGCTGCCTCTGGGCATGGCCAGCCTGAGATGATTCAACTCAGGTTACCCAGCAGTGGAAGAGGGATGAATGATGTGAGACCAGTTCACATTTGTATAAAGGAAAAGTTCACTGGTGCAAGGCATAAGACCACCCCAATATGCCAAAATTTTCAGATGGATCTGCCTGTATCATCTCCTCACAGTGTTCCCTCCAAAGAGGCCCAAAGGTCTTCAAATGCAAAATAAGGTCCAGAACAGAGATGAAGATAATTAATCAAGAGTGAGCAGACGACAGAGAAGAAAAAGGTTGATGTCTCGTTCTCTTGGTACCCACCAAGTCCCGGCAGGCCGGTATCCCCTCCACAGCTGGCGTTAGTCAATGCAACCACTCCCTGTGTTGCAACAAACCCTGCCCAGCACCTGTCCCTACAGTGACCCCCTGTTCCTCTGAGTCCCATCAGCCTCTTCCTCCTCCTCCTCCTCCTCCTCCTTCCTCTCCTGGCAGTTTCCCCTCTCTACCCTCTGGCTGCAAATTCACCTTGCACTTTTTTTCCTCCCTCCACCTCTCCCTGAAAGGCTCCCACCAGACCCAAGCAATTCCTTTTTGAAAGGAACATAACACAACTATGAGCAAGGAAATAAAAATAATATTACTAATAACCTAACATAATATTAGTCTGCAGCGCACACCAACTGCTCAGCTGCTCCTCAGGGATGCATCCTTTGCCCTGACCCTTCAGCAGCTGTTTTTTCTGCGGTCTCTAGCTCTTGGAGGCAAGAACTACGCATCCAATTTAATTGGGAATAAATCACCAGCCCTGTGAGTGCTACCAGGGAACCCCACATAACCTTTTCTCTCTCTGCTGGGCCCCTCTGATGTGCCAGGTTAGAAAGCAGTGGCTCTTGCAACTGCTAGCAAAAGTCTGAGCAATACTTACAGCTGATTGTAATTCCAAGCTCTACACCTCTTTTCTTGGGCAATTTAACGTGGAAAGTGCCGCTGCTGGGTATGACAGACTCTATAAAGCCAAAAACAGACAAAAAGAAAACAGGAGAAAGGAGAGAGTTTTCATCGGCATGGATGGTTTCTCTGGAACCAAGAAAAGCAAGCCCATCAAGCTCAGCTTTATTGGTTCAAATAAGGTTGTTCTCTGAGGCCCCAAGGACTTCAGGTTAAGATTTGGATTCTCATTAAAAATGCATGCTCTGAACATCAAGCGAAGTGCTCACATCACATTGTACTTCGGAGTTGAAGCAGCTTTGTAAATGTAAAAGATAAAGACTTTTTTTTTCCTTCCAAATACAAAGCTGCACTTTAGCTCCAGCCAATTGCTTCAGCTCTCTCCTTTCCTCAAGGCCATAGATTAATACAAATATTACACATATTAATCATCAAATGTTTAAAGAGCAGGTGGCTCCTTCATCTACTCACTAGGCTTACCTCAGCCAAGTGGTGAAAAGAAGGCTTTTATTGAAGGATCAGAGGAAGGACCCTCTGTCTTAATGAACATTAGAGAACAACAAAAAAATGGGAGAGGCCCTCCTCACAGTGTCTTTTCAGCCGTGTCTGAGCTCTAGCAAAAACCTGATGTATTTTTGTGAACACACTCCCTCCTACAGGGTAGCAAAGGCACCGGCAGAGTCTGGCAGGTGGTAAGGAGCAGCAAGTCCTTTGGCAACTTACCTGCAACATCAAATTCAATTTCCAGCACCACTTTGTTTGTGAGCGCAGCATCCCGCAAAAGCTGATTAGCTTCCTCCATAGTCCCATCCTCAGTCGCAATGCCGTTGATAGAAAGGACTCGGTCTCCTACTTGCAGCAACCCACACCTGCAGTCCGTATTGGGAAAAGAGGGGAAGGGGTCAAGGAGGCAGGGAAGAAGGAGGAAAGAAACAACCCCACAGCCAGCCATGAGTTACTTTTACCAGACAAATCTGTTAGAAGACACACAGAGTACCGACAGATCCTGCAGAAGTGGCCTCAAAGAGATGGTAATTCATTCTGCAATGTGCGTCCCAGGGCCAGGAGCCCCTGAGAGGTCACAAGGCAGCAAACCCTTCTGGTTTGCTCAAGCTCAAACATACTTCACTCTCAAATACAATTTATATATATTTCTTTTATTTCCTGCAACTTGCAGGGAAAAAAAAAGAAACCCATCCCCTCCTAAAAGTCAATACCATGGCCAAGACATGCGAGTGACGAATTGCAAGGACATGAGCCCTCCTACCCTATTTAACAGTACACATCTCTCTCCGTGTGCCTGCATCCACTGGAAACCAAACTAATGGCACTGAAAATTGCACAGAGTCCTCTGCTTAATACATGGCTAATACTGAAGCTACAATCCAATGAACTCACTGAAACGTCTCGGCAAATTGGATAATCATTTATCCCTTGTAATTGCATTTCTGGAAGCCAAATGTACATTGATACTGTTTAACTGCCCTGAAAGGCCAATATTATTCTGATGTGATAGCCCGCCAATATAACCAAAACTGGCACTTTGGGCTTTTTGGTTTAGACCCACTTTCACAGAGAGCATAGATCTGCAGGTTTTTTCACTTTGGAAGTAGAATAATGACAGCAGGGCTATGTTGGAGATGTACTGCTACAGCATGGTTTGCCTCTTGAGACTCTTCTGTATTTATAAGAAATGTTTGTTCACACATGAACCACTACTTTCATTATCCATCCTTTGTTCTTCTTTTTTCTTCTTTTTTTTTTTTTTTTTTTTAACGGACTGTGATCCCAGCAAGACAATCCTGCACATTACCTCCCACAGCTAATCTGCACAAACCCATGGCTCTACAAAGACAAGAGTGTAGTGTTCCACATCACTGGCCATGGGCAATAGGTTGCCCATCCTCCTCCTTCTCCACACTCTTCATCAGTTGCTTGCTATAACCACATCTGTTCCATTTCCCACTCAGCACCTGTCTGTAAGGCCATTCACTCGAGCAGAGCATGGGAGAGCACTCAACCATCACTAACGTAAGCTACGGTGTGGTTTCCAAAACAGACTCAGAGTTATGGGAACAAGTCTAAGGTTCACCTCTATGCTTGGAGTTGTTTTCCCACAAAGCCATCAGCTAGCCTGTTTTAAGCCTCCGTCAGACAATCTTTATTCCCCTGCTGTTAAATGATCAACTACATCCTCTGCCCTGACCTTTCTAGAAGCCAGCTTCCACTGGTATTTCATGCAAGACAGCTTTTTTTTTTCTTTACATTTTGTTTTGTTTTTTTACTAATCCTTCCAGCCTCTCTTCATCACTCACACCTGATTCAGTTGTTAAGAACATGGTACTGTGGCTTCTGGACACAAAGATAACATTAAAGGCCATGGGTACCGGTTGTATTGGTCACCTCCAAACAGCAGGAAAGTCCAAGAAAACACACACACGTCCAAATCTGAGAAAAGTGCACAAGCACAACAGTTTTTGTCTGTGGCCCATAAAAGCTGAGGTATGACAAAGTTTGGAGAGAGCCTAGGGAGGTTATTTTACCAGTAGGAAGGGATTAAACTTGCGGATTTGCTCTGGTGCCTGAGTTCATGTCATTCATGGAAAAGAGCTGGCTATTTTAAGAGATGTAAATTCAGAAGTGTTTTTTTCAAGGAGACTGGGATTAGGACAGACAACTCCATGGAGTATAAATGAATACACCCCTGTGAATAAATTACGTTGTTTAATTACAGTCCCCTACTGGACTTGTGGCTATATGCAGCTACATCAACTTTTAAATATGAAGATGGTAAGGAGTAAAACAGAGAGGTCTCCTCCAGCACTGAGAGCTTTCTTGCTACGGTCACTGTGCACCTTTTGGAAAGGAGGGGTCAACGCAGAGATCACTTCAGCATTTCAAGGTAGCACAAGGACACAGCCTGTGTCAGTACTGCTGTTTCAGCCACAAGGACTAGGAGACTATGGGATTCTTTCACACAGCCAACATTTGCCACCTTTCCCAGAGTTGCCTCCTCACAAAACAACCATTTCCTGTGCTTCTTCATTCAGGGTAAACTTGCCATGGTGTTTTACAGCCAATAGCTCTGTTAGGTCAGAAGCATTTTATTTCGTTTAATATTAGCCTCAGTCGATCATGGCAGTTTAAACCCCAGTCTTGAAGGTTTTAAAAGTTTGTGGAGTGAAGCCACAACCTCCTACCTCCAACCACAAGGGTGAGGAGACCTGATGTGCCTCATTAACTCTTCAGAATGATTTCACCACCAGTTTCCAGCTGCCACGTGCCCTTGCAATGGGAGCAGGGCCCTGGGAGCCAAGGCTCCTGCAGACCTCTCCTTGACTCTGCTATGGGATCCTGCATGAAGTTTTTAGAGGGCTTTCCCAGAGAGTGCATGCATCTCCGAGATGCACAGTCTAACATTAGAGCTCACAAAGTACCTTGAGATCACGGGAGGAGAAGTGCTTAAAAATCAAAGAACAAGAATTCAAGCATCTCAAAGAGTGAAAGAGCCCTTTTGGTGTGTTGGAGTCCATGACAGGAAGGTTTCCTTCGGGTTGCAGAGATCTGCATTTTGTTGTGACTCATTCCTTGGGCTTAAAGAAGCAGTGGAACAGTGGAGGTGTCCCGCTAAACACAGAGCAGTGCAAACTCAAGCCTTGGACTGGGGATATGCTGAAGATCTCACTCATCGTCATCAGCATCTGTGCAGTCACTCCAGCTGTGGAGCGAGCAGCAGCAGCTGTGACCACAGCCACATTGCTGGCTGCAAAAACCGATGTGTCATGCCCTTACACACCCCTGAGTTGACCTGCATGGCTCAAATGCACACAGCTGTGTGTGTACATCGCTGGGTGGGTCGCAGCCCCCAAAAGATCAAAGCTGTGCTGACAACATCACCCAGCTGCTGAACTTTCCTCTTGCAAACTCTTCATCCTCAAAAGCCAGAAACATGATGATCTGTGTCTGAGCAGAGCCAGAAAACACGTAACACAGCAGGAAGCATTGATTTTGGATACTGGGATGGAGAAGCCAGATACTCTCCCACTGCTGTCAGTGACAAAAAAGCTGCTTGTTTCAAGGCAGCCAAGAAGGGACGTCAGGCTTCTTCCCATTAGACCCTCTCTGCTGATAACAGGGGCTGAAGCACTGTCTCATTTTGAGCCTAAAGGCTTCATCTTACATCCAGGAGACAAAACAAGGGGTGGGGTGGGAATGTCTGTTACAGACTATTGTCTGTAAAACAAATCACAAGTCAGGGAGATGTCAGCTTTTGTTTGAAACTGCCTGTTGCAAGCTAAAACGAAGCAGATAATAAATGTGAAACAAACTACTTCCCTGAAAAGAGGGTAACACTGTCCTCACCAGTACTGCTCAAATTTGCTAAACACCTGAGAGGCAGCTCCTCCAGGCAAGACAGATGGGCAAAGCAATTGTGGATCATGTCCTGTGCACAGAAAATCGAGATTCACCGGCTTTGCACAAGAGCGTGTGAACGGGCATGACAGATGCAGGTGACCCAGTCTCTCTACCCCTGCTGCTCACCCACATTTGCAAAGAACAACAACTGCAGCCCAAGAAAGCACAGTCCAGCAGCCTCAACCGAGAGCCTAACTTGGGAAAGGGGAGAAAAATGGCTCCAATGTCTTGAGCTGTGGTTACAGCAGAACCTGTTAAGGCAGGGGAAAAGGTATCTAGCAAAGATTGAGCAAACAAGCTCCGTGGGATAGCAAGAAACAAAAAGTGAAATGGAAACACCAAACTGCCTTTTTCACCTCCCTGTAAACCCAGTACACTTATCACTTCAAGATAGGGAGCAAAACCAATGTTTCCCTGCCAGCTAGGAAGAGCAGCACAATCTAGGAAAGAAAGAAATACACTGGAGAGATTTAATCCCCAAATCAAATCCACACTGTAGGCACAGAGAGGATTGCTCCCTGCCATCAGAAAGCAGAGGGCAGCAGCCAAGAGAGCGCGAATCCTGCTGGCTGGGAGCAGCAAGGGAGAGCAGCGTGTGTGACATGTTAGAGCCAGGCGAGTCCGCACCACCAGTCTTTGCTTTCACTCCAGGCTTGGCAAGAGGATAAAGCAAAGCCAGGCAGATTTCAGCACATCTCCCTCCTCCCAGGGGACAGCAGGCTTTGTTGCTGCCTGATTTATAAAAGAACGTTGTTGCTCTGCAGTGTGAGCCAAGTTCACCCTGGTAATGGAGGATTGAAAAAGAACAAAATGCCACCACTTTGGTTTCTAAACTTTGTTTGCAAACAAACAAAAGCATAAAAGGCTTTTGAAATCACTCTTAACCTGCCTCGCTTGGGACAACACGTTTTCCTATTCCAGTCCCTTGCCCTAGTCCTCCCAGCCCAGCCTCGCACACAGCCCAGTGCCAGGCACTCGTGCTCCTCCCTGCCTCTGCATCGGCCACCTGGAGACACACAGAGAGACCAGACGGCACAGCGAGAGCTTGCATTTGCAAAAGGAAACACCAGTCCCATGCTGAGACTTGATCCGTTCAGCACAAGAAGCATCATTACAGGGCATCTACTCTGTAGTGCGCAGGCACTTGAGCAGACTTTAAACCCAGCCAGCGAAGGTTTTGGAAGAAGTTTAAGCAGAGCTCCCATGCTGAGGCTCGGCCACTGCAGAAGTCATTGCTCTCCGTTTCCCCAGGGGTCACACAGAGCAGTTAATGCTGCTCCTCCATTCTGCTCTTTTCCCAGCATTATTGAGCCAAAAGCAGAAGTGTTTAAATGCACCTCAACCTGCCCCTCAAACAGAGCCCTCCTCAGTGCTTCAAAACTTTTAGGCCAATTTATAGAGCTGGGCTCTGCTACAACGAAACCAGGCAGAAAACACTTTCTGGTGGCCATTTGTGTATGTTTATCCCCTTTCTGCAACCAGACAAAAGCTTTATCTTTCAATGAGAAAGAAAAGGAAAAAGAGTAAGAAAAAGCAAAAGAAATAAAAGCAATGGGAATGGCGCTCTCACACAGACACACGCTCCCTTCCTCCTCCTCCCAGAACAGCCGTAGCCTGGTGCCAAGACGTTCACCTGGGATGCGAGGGAGGCCGCGGTCAGCCGACGAGTGCAGAAATGGCAGTGACAGTAAACCATGCCCAGTGAAGAATGGGAGATATTACAAGGATGATAGTAAATATCTAAATGAGCCTCTGAGGAGAGAAAACAAACCAAACCATGAAATGGTCAGCAGCAGCACCATCAGCATCCAAGGGCAAGGTCTCTAACCTCTCTGCCGGGCTGTCAGGCTCAATGAAACGGACGAGAGGGGGGGAGGACAGGGTTTCGGTAGCGAAGATGCCTCCCTGGAGCTGAAGTCCGAAGCCATTCAAAGGGTCTCCCCTGAGCACCACCTCCGTCGTCTCCGTGTGGACTATCTGCCCACCAGGACCCACTGTGCTGGAGGCCAGCGACACTGTGAGGAAGAGAGAGGCAGAAGGTCAGGGCAGCCACAGTCAGCATCACAGACCTTGGCCTGGCTGTGAGGCCGGTGACTGAAGCTGAGGGAGGCTGTGGCAGTGCTGGGATGAGCTGTTCTGCCCAGCTAACAGCCAGCAAGGGCAGTAAGGACAGCGAGGAGAGCACGTGCACCCGTCCATCCCATCCCCAGCCCCTCACCACTCTTACGTGAGCTCTTGTGCTCCTTCTTCTTCTGCCTCCTCCTCAGCATGGTGGTGCGGGGGCTCATGGGGTGGGAGCTGCGAGGTAGCGTGTTGGAGTTCTGGCAGGGGAAGCCCTGCGCATTCATGGTGGGAGACGAGAAGTTGGCAGCCACCAGAGCTGGGGAAATACAAAGAGTGTTAAAGCAGACACACAGAAATGCAGTTCTGGGTTCACCCAATAGATATTCATCCAACTCCTAATAGTTTTGGATTAGTTCCTTCTTCCCAGGGCTCAAGCTGAGGCGAGCCCACATCCTGGGCTTGTAGCTCCAGGAGAGCTATCCAGGGAGTGCTTGGGCTCAAGGCGGACGTTGCTCTCTGGCTTGCAGACTCCAGTGACTGGTCATTGAGGCTACCAGGTGAAAAACGTGTCACTGATGCAGGGCAGCCAACAGCTGGTTGGCACAATGGCACTAAAGAACCTTAAACGCATAGGAAGAGAAACCAGAGCTTGAACTTCCTGAGCAACTGGGCTCCCCTGCTTGCTTCCCGATACACAGCACAATGTTTCCTGCCTGCCTCACTGCCCTAGGACCAGAAACCTGGGGCTGAACAGAATCTGCTTCCTGCAAGAGATGTGTTTGCAAACAGATTTGGAAGCATCCATAGTCCTTCTTCTATCACGCAGTGCAGTGCTAGGGCCGAGCTGGATGCCTTGGTGTACCACGTTCCTACACATCACCAGGGCTGCCCTCCTTGTCCCACAGCAACTCAGTTTTTTCCCTGGCCCATATGAAAGCAGGACACAGGGGTGTGGGATAAGGGGATGGGAGCACGGGTCTGCCCAGCACACTGCTCTCATTGCAGTTACCAGCTCAGTGCACACAGAGCAGGAGGCACCAAATACTGATTTTGCACCTCAGCATTGGGCCTGTAGAAAAAGACCCAGGTGACCCTGGAGGAAATAAATGACAGCCCAGGCTATGGAGTTAGAGAGGCATAACACGAACGCATGCAGGAATGGGGACAACACCGTGCTCTGGGCTTACATTTGCAGTAATCCTGTCCAGACGTCTGGTTCCAGGTGGGCGTCTTGCAGTGCCCGGGGTGGTGGGTGTGACAGTAGTTGACGCAGGGGTCCCAGCAGTGGTGGTGGTCGCTCTTCTGCACCTTGACTGATGTCACCCAGGGGAGCAGAAATCAGCACAGGCAGGGAGGAGAAGTGAGAGAAAGAAAAAGTAAGAAGCATAAGGCAGGAGATTGTAGGACAGAGCCTCATACCGGCTCTGAACACGCCAGAGTGCAACCGTGGCGTGTCAAGAACCAGCAGCAAAAACGCATCCCCGTGTAACCTCATGACACTTGATGTGAAGTGGCAGATATCCACCCATTCCCCTTAAAAAACTCCGTGTCCTGAGCCAACGGCCTGACTAAGCTGTTCTGGCAGCACACAGATGTCATTACCATTTGCAGTCTGTTGTGCGACGTGCAGAAGCTGCCTCCAGCCACGAGTTTCCCACAGAGACCATCAGCGTTATCCGACAGCACCAGGGAAACCTCCTCGTGCTGTTTCCCACCTTGCTGCCCTCCCAGGACAGCACTCGATGCCTTCCACACGTGCCTAGGAGTGCTCTGAGCACTTCTCTTGGCTTCAGTGTTTGGATGTTCAGTGGCTGCTCTTGGCTTGCAATCTGTCGCAGGGTGCACATATGGAAAGGGCGGACTGCAGCTTACCAGAACAAAAGGGATTTTACACGCTGCTGCTTACAGGCAATTACACAGGGCCACCAACACAGGAAGAGATGCCAACGCTATGGCAAACGGCAAATTAAAACATGGCACCAACGTGGCAGGCTCTATTCAAGGCCACACAACAGCTTTAGCTGCAGTGTGGCATCCATCGCCTAGAAATCCCTTGTCCCAGGAACTGTAGCTTTGCAGCATCAGGTCCCGATGCCACAAATCCCCTCTGATGTGCCTCAAACACACCCCCAGGCACAGGTCCCTGTTCTCCTCTCACTGATGCTCCTTTTGCTCCTGGGCAGCACAGGGCAGATTCAGTTGGCCTTGCCCAGCAGCAATGAGTTCTCTCTCCTGAACCCCTGCACCACGCTGTCTGGATCAATTTTCTTCTGTGAGGAATCGCCAGCTAATGAGCAAGATTGCAAGTGTCTCTTCTGTTCAGCTGAGCACGAACAGCATCCCACAGCAGAGCATCACAGCTCTTAACCTTGCAACCGCTGGCACTCTCCCAGCTGAGACCTCCTCCGGGCTCTGTGCTCTCCACACAGGTGCTGGCACTACCAGAGCTTTCTGAGCGTGCAAACCTGGGAGAGGGACTCAATTTATCCAGTGTGTCCACCCAGAGATCTCTTATAAAGGTCAGCTGTTAGCATCTTTTAACACTGAAAATCCATTTTTCTTATCTGAATCCTTTAGGTCAGGTTTTCTGACCAACATCCTTACTATTTCAAAGTATTTGCTAAACATTTACTGAGTTTAGCACCTACTCTATAAAGCTCTTAAAATGTCCATTTCCAGCTCTGGGGTTTCAATTTTGTGGACTCAAAAGGAAATTCAGAGTCAGCAGGCTTTTAAAAACAAAAATCCAAAAAGCGAGTGTGGCTGCATCTAGACAAAAACAGAATTCCTAATAAAATGAAATACTTTGAACACAACTGACAGAGCTTATGGGCGTATATACAAAACCGTTTAATCCATTTATAGTAATTAAGCCTCTCCCATTTGTCTCTAAGTTCTTAGCCCATATCTGACACAACAGAAAAAGGCCTACGAAACTCAGATGTCAGTGCAGTGGGGGAAGAAAAGAGGTTTGGGACAATAATGGGATAAAAACCTACAACAGCCTTCCCCAAGCTTTCTGCACATCATCGGTGCCTGAGGAAAGCCACCCATCCCAGCGCTGCTTGCAGGCACCATCCGCTCCCACTGATCTTGTGAGCAGGGCATAATCCTCCCACAAACTCTCCAAATGCCCCCAGCGCTGCAGAGAAAGCAAACTCTGTTTGACAAATCCTGTGCTCCAGCATTAGACTGCAAGGACCATATTTTTTTCATGGCAGCTGCAGCTCCAGATCTCTCTCTACTTCCTCAGTAACCAGATTTTCATTGCACAAGAAGCTGTATTTAAAAAACATCATGACAATCCCCATGCAGGCACACACTGGATGGACTCAGCAATGCAAGTGCCAAGGAGGGACACCTCTGCATCATCTCCTCTCCTCAGCTGCTTTCTCTGGGCTTCACTTTCCTGCCAACCAAGACAGTTTGCTTTTGCATGGCCCATCTTTCCTTACTGCCCTTGTTTGTTTCCCTAAACTCAGAAAGAGCAGCCTGTGGAGTTGGCTTTCAGCGTCTGGAGCAGAAGGTAGCGTCTCTCCCAGGTCCTAATGCAGATCATCAGCTTTGGTGTGGTTCCTTGGCTCCTCACCATGGGCTGCACGACGCTGTGGCTGGTTACACCCCTGAAGAGCACTGCTTCATGAGCTGCTCCTCGTGTTCAAAGCGCTCTCTTTCCTGTCCCCACCACCTTTTCCATCCCCATCAGCACTGGTGAAGGTTTAAGCCCAAGCACTGGTGCTCACCTCTGCCTCCTAACAGCCATGTCAATGAACAGCGTCCTCCCCTTTGATCCCTCATGTGTCAGAGTTGAACAAAAAGCAGGGACAATTGTTACACCCCTTATTTATTCATACTGGTGTGTTGCAATTATTCTCACAAGTTTGCCTGCTGAATTTCTGGCATAGCAAACTGGCCTGATGTGTGGAGGTACAGGTAAAAATGCTCTGAGCACACAGATCTGTCCTTCCACAGATCTCCCTCCTCCTGAGCCGCTGCTGAATGCATATATTCATTCTGTATTCTGAAAGGAGATTAGGACCAGGGCACTAATGGAAGAAGGAGAATAGTTCATTTTAACAGCCATTGAAAAAAGATTATAGCTTTCCATTTTTTCTTGGGCACAAAGGTCAAGTCATCTGTCCCCTTTGTTAAATGGCTTTAATTCTGCACAAATTGGACTGGACGTGTAAGAGATTTATTTCTAGACATGAAGATGTTATTAAAGTTTATGTTTCACTGCATCACGTTAAAGAAGACAACACAGATAATTTCTTCCTTTCACCAAACCTTCTTTTCCCCAGAAGAGAACAGAGAAACGAATTGGGCCTGAGGCTCCTGTGCACCAAGATTATTAAACTGCACATTCCTAAGAGAGAAGTGACTCAAAATGGATGCAAAAGGGGCTGGTACTGAACCAGCTGCAACAGCTGAGTTACGAGAGGCCCAATGTAGATTCTACCAAAACTGCAGGCAGCAGTTGCAACAAATCATATAGTGAGGCTGATTTCACAAATATGTATATATGAGAGCCTGACTCAGCCTCCCACATGGAAGAAAAAAGTAGAGGTAAGCAACAAGAATGCTCATAGGACAAATTCCTAACATTTGAGATTTACAGGTATTTACAGTTTGATGAGCAAGATTTTTTTCTAGTATTTATTTAGAGAGAAAAAAATAACAAACAGCAGCCACTCTGGATGCCTTCGCTTTGCTCCTGGCTGCTCACACACAGCTGTCATTCAAACAGGCTGGGACAAAAAATGAACACTTGTGCTTCAGCTTTATTTCCTAAGGAAGTCCAGCAGAACCCTGCCTAGCTGCTGACATGTCCTTTACAAAGCCTTACCAGGCACCAGTCGATGAAAGCTGAGTTTGGAAATACATTTGCCAGCACCAAAGTTGTCTTCCTCCCTCTCCATTAAAGTCTCTTATCCAAAGTACTAAGAGGCAGCACTGCAAAACCTTGGGATTCCCAACTCCCATTTTTCCATTCAAGCACAGATGTTACCTTTTTTTTTTTCTTCCCAATTCAAATCCTTGAGGAACGTCATCTAATCATGTGCATTTCATCAAAACAGTCTGTTGTGAGCATTCAAAAGCAGTGAGAACCACAGTGGGAACTTCAAGTGAGTTTTGAAGGCGACCAGCAATGTCTGCCCAGAGGACATACCTGTTTCTGGAGGCTTCAAAGGCAGCCTGCTTTGGTGAACAGGTAATATCTCCAGCTTGACATTTTCTGAAGTGGCAGCTAAAAGCTGAGTTGCCTCTAATAAGGAGCAGTGCTCTGTGCTCGTGCCATCAATGGAGAGAATATGGTCACCAACATGCAACGCGCCACATCTGCAAAGGAAACAGCAAGAAAGGCAATTATACACATGGCCAAACTCCATGTCCTTTTGGCTGGAAGCAGAAACAGACAAAATCCAGCTGTTTTGCTTCAAATGATTTCTTTCCATATCTCATTTTTGACTTTCAACTTGAACATTAGGTTTAAGCATTGACAAAAACATCAACTTAGCTGGTCAAGTCAGGCTGCTGGTGTCTTGGGAAAGATCTTTCAAGTTTTTACTAGTGCACAGTCATAACCACTCTGGACGGCTGGGTGTTCACCCAGCAGTGTGGTGGGTCCTACCAGGCAGCAGTTCAGAGATATGATTACTAGGGTGACAAGCTGACTTGTGCATCAGGAAAAGACTCCAGCCAGAAATTTCCACAATAGGTGCCTGCCATTCCACAGCTCCAGGGCACTCAGACCTGAGGTTTTTAAAACAGAGCTCAGCTTTCACGTGCACCAAATTACATTTGTTCCTGGTGAGGAGTGTCCACTGGTCAGATATTTTTAGCATGCTTAGTGATAAGAACATGTGGGCATGGCCATTTAAAGGAGAGGCGGGGAAGTATGGTATATAACTAACAAGATGACAAAAAAAAAGCAGTGGAGAAGGGAAAAGAAGCGGAGCAGCCTGTTCAGATCTTTACCTGTCCACCACACTGGCCGGCTTGATCTTATCAATGACAATGACCTGCTTGTTCCGATGCGTGGTTGTCGTCAGCGTGATTCCCAGTGTAGATCCTGGAGTCTTTGCTATTTCAACCAGTAGAGGACCCGAAGCATTTGCTACAGTATCTGCAAAACAAGAGGGTATCTGAAGACACTTCTCCTGAAGACACTAAATGCAGAAGCAGACAGGAGATTGGACAATTGTGCTGACCTGACCTGAGCATAAGTAAATCTGTAGTTGGAACTTCCTACACCCCCACAACTTAGCATCGCATGGTTAATTAACAAAGAAAGCCTTCCAGTACCTAAAGAGGACCTACAGGAAATCTGGGTAGGGACTCTTTGTCAGGGAGTGTAGTGATAGGACAAGGATTAATGGTTTTAAACTATAAGGGTAGATTTAGATTAGATAGTAGGAAGAAATTCTTTACTATAATGGTGGTGAGGCACCAAAGAAGCTGTGGATTCCCCATCCCTGGAAGTGTTTAAGGCCAGGCTGGATGGGGCTTTGAGCAACCTGATCTGGTGGAAAGTGTCCCAGCCCATGGCATGGTGATTGGAATCTGATGATCCCTGGGGTCCCTTCCAACCAAAACCATTCTGCGATTCTGTGATTCTAGGATATTACAACAATTCACACATGGAAACAACTCTCCTGACTCTCTTTTTTTGGGTTAAATATCAAGACCAAGGAAGAGAATGCTCAAAGTCCATGCAGCAGTCACATCAACTTAAAAGAAAAGCACAAAAGAAAATCAGAAGGATATCACTGTTTAAGGTTTCTTCACAAACGAACCCCCAAAAAAAGGAACAGAGAAATAGGATTATGCTTTCTGAAGTATTCAGAAGTCTTGCATGCTGCTTACCACCAGCACAAGCCAGCAACTCCAGCACCAGCTCAGGAATATCGCTGCAGCTGCTTGTTTCATTTCCACTAGTGTGGCTCTGGGAGCAGAAATGCAGAGCTCCCTACCCACATGCTTACAGAAGCCTTCTCTCCCCCATCAGACAATACAGGGGTAGCTCATGTTTAAACAATTCATTACTGCAATAAGCTTAATGCATGCTGTAAGTGAGACTACGAAACTCCTACAAAACTGCACCTGTTAGCATCTGCTTCCAAGGAACGGATGGCAGAGCCCTCGGAGAGCCTGATGGCTCCTCAGCCCTTAATTATTCATGGGGAGGCTTTCCTCTTCCAAAGCTATGCTCCACTGAAAATGCTGATGCTACTCAGCTCCAAAATGTGATGCATGGCCCATTCTTGTTCTTTGATAAATGAGAACACTGATGCAGATCTTGGGAGCTAAGCTGCAGGAAGGTCCTTCGTGAGATTTGTTAAGATGCTAAGTCCCTGGAGACTTATTTTTCCCTTGTGTAGGGATCAGCCAGGGGATGTTCAGGCTCTGATCTACTCACAGCACCCTTTTTCCTGGGGGAGAAAGGAGCAGGACCAAGCCACATTTAAGATTACGCAAGGCTTCAAATAAAACACTGCTTATTCTCTGCTGGAAAGGACCACTGGAGAGACCTGCAGGCCCTGGCAAAAAGCACAGCTCAATCCAAAGTGCACAGAGCATCCAGGCGAAGCCTGTGGGAAGTGCACTTAAGCTTCATTAGCAAAGGAAGCACCAAGAGACCAAGGATCTCCTCCAACAGCATCAGCTATACGTTAGTTTTTCAGCCCATGAGTGTCCAGCACACATGCTCCAATAAGGGATTTACTCATCACATGTATATATTCCTCCAGCCAAAGGGAAGGAGATAGTAAAAATGGCCACGGAAACAGCTTATTGGGGTGTTAGATCTCTGTTTCTTCACAAGAAAAACACCTGCTCCTCTCGGTTTCACCATTGTCCAACCTTCTCATCTTTGCCAAGTGTTTCCCAGGAAAGTCTCAGCACAGTGGTGAGAGGAAAGGGCCACGGGCACCTTCTCCCATGGCAGGACCCAGCTTTCAGTAACACTCCAGGAAATCACAGTCATTCCTCCAGCCCATGGTCCTTCCTACCCCTGTGCACTACGGCCACCCTGCTGCCCCTTTAACTCCCAGCTCCAAACCTTTGTCCTCCACCTTTTTGAAGACATTTTCCTTTTAGGTGGCATTGATTAAATGAATAGGATAAATAAATTGCATAGGACCCTGTTAAAATTCAGTATCAGCAGCTCTGGTCCAAAGTTAGTCCCAGAAGCCCAGCTAACATCTGCCCCCAAATCCTGCCTGCGTCTCTCCTTCTGAACCCAAACTCCACCCATTTCAAAATGCTCAGGGGCAAATTCAGCAGCCACCAGGTGACTTACTGCAGATGTAATGAACCCTAACCCTTTCCAACAAAACAGAAAGAGGAAAGCTGATCAAAACTTGCTCAAGTACAGCAAATCCCATTGCCCTGTCCACTTGGCTGACCCCTGGTCCCTGAAGGACACAAAGGGCTGTGCAAATCCCACTCACACCCATACCCTTGAGGAGTACTCATCCTTATCATGGTGGATATAAGGGAGGCAGAGCCTGCTCCAGGCAGTCAGACACCCCAGTGCTGAAGGTACAGGAGAGCTGTTTTCCCCACCGATTAAAGGCTGGGGATCGGCAGCTGTTTTCTTAGTGATTGTTCTCTCAAAAGCTTATTTTTAAGGAAAAAATCAGAGAGGAAGGAGAGGACCCAGCAAATCTCTGCTCATTCATCATCTCTAGCAGAGAGCTTCCCCCTCCGTGACTCAACCCTCCCGGCTTGCAGCCCAGTGCCTTGTGTCACGGCACACACAGCTTATTTACAGAATAACTATTCAAATGCCACCAGTTTCTGGCTGATCAGTTTATTTGTTGGATTTTTTGTGCGTGTTATTTTTACCCTTTTTTAAAAAGGCCCACAAGATAGAGCGTCGCCACAGGAAAGCATCTGTTTATTGCAATGTTTATCTGGCATCAGCAAAAGGCAGAGACTTTCCCCATGCCCAAGGGAGGTGCATGCCCAGTTTGTGCTCCTTTTAAATGGAAATTAATTTAATTCCTTCAGTGGCCTTGAGAAATCTCAGCCAATTTGACTGAAAGCCTGCTGCAGCCCCATCCTACGCTGGCCTCCCTGGTGGAAGCCAGCAGCCGGGGGATGCTTGGCGGTGGTGGCGAGCAGCTGCTGCAGCCCTCGCACCAAGAGCTCCACGCAGCTCATCCTCAGCACACAATTTGGGCTGGGAAACTGCATGGCCAGCTGGGGACTGCCGTGATTCAACACTCCCCTGCAGCAGCTTTTGGTCTCTCACCAAGGACAGATGTGGCAAAACAACTTTCCTTCCTTGAGGGTCAGCCCACACCTCTCCACTGGTGGCACCCCCGGCTCTTTCAATGAATCAAGCAAACGGCGTGGCCACGTGCTCCCCAAGCCCCTTCAGCAAGAGCTAGTTTTCAAAATGGGAACAGGGCTGCCAAGGGGGAAGCCTCACCTCACCACCATGTTTTAAAAGAGTGCCAGCAGAGTTGTTACTTTTCTCCCCAAATCACAGAGCACACCTTGGGAGGCAGTGGGCTAGGTGAGGGAGAGATACCAAAGACCATTAGTACAACTAAGGGCTTGGTTAGCACTCCCTGGGCAGAGGATCTGTTTTACTGCGTGGTCTCTTCATCCCATTTAACTGCAGGTCCCCAGCATCCTCACGGCCTCCCTTACCATGCACAGATCCAGGTACTGCTTTCCCTCAGCTCTCTTCAAAGCTCAGGTCCCAGACACCTGCTGCACCCACCACAGCTTGTTCATCTGTTCAGCTAAATGCGGTGCTCCCTCCAAGCTGCTGGTGTCCCCACACTGCTTCCAGCACCTGCTTTTCCCTTCTCTCATCATCTTCCCTTGGTTGCTAAAGAGAATGTCTGTAATATTTGTGATTTGGGGATGAGGCACTCATCCTGCTGCAGTTATTAGCTGTTGCCTTGGCAAAACTGTCTGCAGAGATTGTTTTAAGCTACATGTTCTGCATCAACTTGCCCTTAAAGAAAGCATCCCCTTTATGGGGATGGGGAGGAGCAGTCTATGAAGAAATTAACTGAAAAGGGGCTTGTTTTATACCTTCTTGGGATGTACCTAGTGATGGCCCACTGTATAGCAACAGAAGAGGGAGAAGCACTGCACAGAACCTGATATTGCTTGTGTTCAGCTTCAGGTGGGAGAGTTTCTCAAGAAATACTGAACACTTTCATGACTATCTTTTGCTCCAAGGCAGGATCTAAAACAGTCAACTTGCTGCAACATTTGCACCAGGAGACCATACAAACAAGCAAACCTACCAAAGCCCATTTCCCACACACCACTAATTGTCTGCTTCTGTTCAGACTGCAAAGCTCTGTGCAAAATCCCTCCCCAGCCCTGCCTGTCCCACATCCTGGGCAGGACAGCCCTTACTGACCTCTGCAAAGCTACCACAATCAAAATCTTTGAAAAAGGTAGACAATGTGGTTTGGGTAGTTTCTGATTTCCGTAATTTAAGTTTCCTCTTTTACTTGAATGTCAGCCAACTTCTAAAGAGCAGCTGCTACTGTAACATGGCAGAAGCCAGGCAGCAGGCAGGTAACTGCAGAGCCATCCGGTTTTCCTTCCAGCTTTCCCAGCAGGGTGCGTGTCTGTGTGACACAGCTGCCCAGCTCCTGGCAGCCTCTCTCCCCAGGGGAGACAGCTCCGTACGCCCATGCCTGTGGAGTTTGTACTGAATGGAAGGGTAGTTTGTGGGAAGAAGACAGAGAAGGAAGCAGAAAGTCCTCAGGGGTTGCAGAAGGAGTTCACTTATTCTGGAGCAACCCTCCTGCAACAAGTTCTGGTGTTCTCAGCTCTCTTTGCTTGTCAGTGGGGTGGAATTAAACTCTCACAGCTACAGATCCTTTTGATTTCCTTCCTCACTGGTAAATCAGAAAATAACCTGATCTGACTCCTATTTCTCACTGGATCCCAGGCTCAGATGTGCTGGACTGGTTTGCGGGATTTGCAGAAGAGACTTCAAACTGTTCCAGCTTGTGGCTCCTGTGCAAGCAGAAGCCCCTCTGGAGACACATATACAACACCAAAATCAAACACACAGCTCAGTGCGCTTCCAGAGCCAGCACAGCTTCAGACTCTGTAGTAACCTTAAACTCATTAACAACACTCCCTGCAGTAACAGCTGTGTGTCACAAAGCCAGCTCAAAATGACTTTACAGTAGCTAATAATAAATCCTTTCCCTGAGCTTGAAACTGAAAATCAAATGGAAAGGAAAAAAAAAAACAAAACACTCAAAGTTGGTATCTACTGTGTACATCATTTTTAGAAATACCCATCCTCTGCCCTCCAGTAAGTTCTGTCTTTTTGGGGTCAATCAGTTGGACATTCCTCGTTTATTGCAGAAGCAGATCTGAACTGAAAGTTCTAAGAAAGGGAATAGCTCTAGAATTAAACAGGGTCAAAATTCAGAACCAAAGCCACTGCCACTTCAAGTCAATGCCTGCTTGCAGCTCATTGCCCTGCTCACATTTAATACCAGTATTTGCAAGGCTGGCAGAGTACCAACATTCCAATCCCCTTCAACTCTGACTTCTCCCATGTCCTCTTTGTCTACATTAGAAATTCCTCCTTTTCCCTTTCTAAAATCAGTCGACACTCCTGTCGAGACATGTCACTGGATAAGGACATTTCAAATACCTCCAACTAAGCCGCCTTTGAACTCTATCCCCTACGCCCATGCTGGCAGCACAGTGCTCAGCAACTTTTGCGCTGAAACTGAGTATCCCAGTTGCTGCCCCCCGTCTTGCATACTTTCCAGGCTGTCAGAGAAAATGCCACCCCAGCCATTTTGGCCTTACCCATGATGGTCACATCATACTCTATCTGGAAGAGTGCCTCCTGGCTGCACTGCCGCAGGATATTGAGGGCATCAGCGTGGGTCATGCTGTGCAGAGGAATCCCATCAACGCTCAGCAGCCTGTCCCCAATTTTCAAAGACCCTTCCCTGTAGGAACCAACAGACAAAAGTTACTTTTTTTTTCATTTATATATTTTTATATGTGTGTGTAGTTATATATAAAGTAAATTACTTTGATCCTGTAAGAGTTGAACACTCCCTGGGACAATAGCTTGGGTTATTTATAGTGTCAGGCCCATCACATTAAATTAGCAGCCTGAGAATAGATAGGCTGCCTCCTGCTTTCTAATATAGCATCAGCTCTCCATCTGCACAGGGTTAATTAGGTGGCTGCCTCTGGAAGAGGAGTTTCTGGTGTTTAGGTCATAAACCTCATTGTATCTGGTGCTAATAGGCCATCCTATGAACACCAGATCCAATCTGCCTGCACACCACAGACCCCACACCACCTCTGTAGCACCACAGCACCAGCAAGAGAGGCCTTGGGGTGTCACCAGCAAGGAGGACAAAAAGGACACATGTCCAAAAATGTGGTGAAAGCTGCCCATCTGTCTTGTGAAAGCAGATATTGGAGGAGCATTACCTGTCTGCTGGGCCACCTGGCCTCACGTAAGTGAGCACCAGTGGTCTGGACTTGTGCCAGTCTTCATGGGCTCCCCCTGTAAGCAAACCGGGAAAGCCGTCAGTCACTGGAGGTTTCGAAGTCTGAATTAGAGTGCTGCGAAACTAGAGACATTTATCACACAACAGCTGACACAGCTTGAAAGCAATGCAAAGAGTGCCCTAGATTAGGCAGCCGGCAGTCCTTGAAGGCTGCACGAGATGCTCTCCAGGGCACACTTTTGTTTCTCATCTGAGGTTTATGACATTCACTACCTTTCTTTTCTCTTCCTGCTTCCCATGTCACCTCTGCCAGTGCTTGTCCCCAAATCATTTATCACCGAAGAAGCCACTAACCTCGTAGCACAAAGCCAAAGCTGTTGCCTTCCTTGTAGAGGGACACCTCGATGGTCTTGGGAATAATGCCAGCACTACTCTCCGGCACTAAGGGAAGAGAGAGAAGCTTGGTTATCCCAGACAAGTCTTTTCCATGCCACTCTACAAAACAATATCAAATAACAGCATTAAAACAAAAGTCCCTACCTCCATATTGTATTGTGCCTGTTTGGAGGCCAAAAAAAGTATGAGCCAGACACATGTACCTTCACTAGAGCTAAGCATCATGTTTTGGGATGACTGGACCAGTTCAGTGTTGTACATCTCACCTCAAATTTGTCTTGGATAATACTCTGACATTCAAGTAAAACCCTCTCGTTTATCAACCAGCTTTAATGTGTTCAGTATTACTCAAAAGCCAGAAGCTTCTGGTGCAGATGGAAACTTATTTAAAAAAAAAAAAAAAGAGCAGCAGCAGCAGTGTAAGGACAGCCACTGGCTGACCTTAAAGAAAATGAAAATCCCAAATCCTCAGCGCAAAAGGTTGAGTTTTTTTTTTTCCCTTTCCTCCCACATTTTGACTTTAAAAAAAGATTAAGTGAATCCTTTAAACTGATCCTAGGGCAATTCAGTAATGTTATGTTAAATACACAGTACTGTTTAATGTACAAAAGTAAAGAGGAAAAGAAAGAAAACTGTTGCTGTCTCTTGCCGTCCCCTGTTATTTAATGATTTATTGAAGTACTGCTGTGAATATGAGACAATTTCCCAGCCTTCTCTGATGGTACAAGGCATTTTAGCCTAGTCTGCTCCAAAAAGATCAATTCCTAATCTTCAAAAGAGAGAAAAGACCAGGAGCTCGACTTCAGCCTGGCAAGTTGGAGTGAAAGACACCCCGAGCACATCCAGCCAGCCTTTCCCTTTGGCTCGGGAAGGGTCTTTGAAACCACTTTCCCCTCTGTCCTCACAAACCACACTGACTCTCACTGCCAAGCTTCCCAAGGACTTGCAACATGCCCCAGTTAGGGTTAAACTAATCCAGAAGATGCAGAGCTGAGGCACGGTACCCCCTCGCAGGCAGGCAGCCCTGGGGACAAGGCCAAATAAACCCCCAAAGCAGCCCCTGCACGTCCTGCACAGGATGCTGACAGGGATGCAGCCTCAAAATACTTCAGAAGGGAAAAGCTTGGGGCACGGGCAGATGGGTGATACATACCAAGAAAAGAGCATAAAGCGTCCCCAAATGAGTTAGGAAGCTGTCCAATTTCTGTCCTAAGCAGCCAAGCATGAAGTTCTGCAGCAGCCTTTGGTAAGAGCAGTGGGAGCAGGGAAACCTAAGCTGGTGCTAATGCAGGGCTTGCTTTATTCATGAAAGCGATGATGTGACACAGTGGCCTGAAAACTAGACTTAGGCTCGCAAGGTCTCTTCCAAAGCAGGAAATTACAAACTGGGGAGAAAAACTAAAAGCCACAAGCGCAAGCTATTGAATTGCACTATCCTTCTGGTTTTTGCCTGGGGAGAGAAAGAGGCGAGTGCACGCAGCAAGAGCAAACCTTCAGCACAGATAAAAGCACACGAGCAACCAACAATGAACTGGAGCCAGGCAGTAACGGACGAGTCCCTGTACTCTGCAGTGCTTCTTTGTTTGGATGAGTCATAAACAACATCAATAATCTCATCTGTCAGAAGTCACTATTTCAGTGGGTTCTTCCTGCTCATTCAGAACTGGAGACATTTTGCGTCGCTGCTATTGATTGAGCCATGCGGTATTGGCACTGCTCCTTAGCTGCTAAGGACAGCTTATCAGATTCCTAATAGCCAGCCTCACAGCTACGCAGAAAGGTTATTAAGAGTTGCCATCTCTGCATGGAAAAACTGAACCATGGGGTTCTGTGGTTTGGGTAAATTTATGTATTTATTTATTTAATTTATCTGTGGTTTGGGTTTGGGTAAATTTATTTATTTATTTACTTTTACCAGGGCTGTATGCAAAAGCTAACTAACATTTCCAGCAAAACAGAGGGGGATGAAGAACAGAGATTCAAATAATTCAGATTTGCTTTTTACTTCTTAGGGCTTTATATGGTCATCTATATATTCAGTATCTTTCATGTAAAGGCAGCAGCTACAGCAAAGCTATAAAGTTTAAGATGGGTTGCTAGCTGGGGTAAAATGTTTCGATTTCATTAGTTGTGCTTTTGCCTTTTTTATTTTTAGTTTTTCTATTTCTTCCGCCCAGTCATCCTCTGATTGACCCTCTGAGTAACTGAGTGAGTAATAACCAGGGAGATCATTTTCACAGTGATGACTGTGATGAAAAACTGTACTGAGGTATTTATTTGTTACAATCAGACCAAAGAAACCAGGGCAAAAGCACAGTCTCCCACATCAGGTCACAAGCCCTGTTTATGAAATCTGGGCCTGCCGGCCTCTGCCAGGGGCCCCTTAGCTCGAAGGCAGATTGCTTCAGCTTCCCTTCTGAAAACACCCAACATTTCAAAGCATCTTGAGGAGTAACTGCACTTGCTGCAGTTCAGAAAAGAGGATCTGGCAATATATGCTTAAAACTGAATAAAATCTCCCATAGCCACGCTCCAAAAGGGAAAAAGAAAAACAAGCTGAAGGAGCATCAGGAGGCAGATTGGCCTGTGCTACCAAGTCACTCGGAGGCAAGACAGATCTAATCAGCCATCTCCTGCCGGTGTGCATGAACGGGCACCCACTGTGCTGGAAAAAGCACTCTGCTCTGACCGCACGCAGCTCTGCAACATCCACCGCGAGCAGATGAAGGCAGAACATCACAGTGCCCCCGGACATTGCCTCGGCCACGATGGCTCAAGCACGAGCAAGCCCATCTGCACCCCGGGACAAAGCGTGGCCAAGAAAAGCGAGCAGCATCGTCAGAGGCACCCACCGGCTGGCGGCAGCTCATACTCTACTTCTAGCACTACCCTTTCGCCCACGTTTTTCAGCAGGCTGATGATCTCGTCGTGCCGCAGCTTGGTCAGGTTAATGCCATTCACCGACTTGATGTAATCCCCAACGTTCAGCTGGTCACTTCTGCGAAAAAGGAAAGAGAAAGCAGTGGTAGGACACAGCCTGTGTTATGCGTGCCTGGTGAACCTTTGGTAACTGCCAAGATTTTGTGAACAAGCCACCAACATCAGGCTGATCTTAGCTGTCTTATTGCATGTGCCTGCTCCCAGAGAGAAATGCTAAAATCCAAGCCATCTATCTTTCCCACCGGCAAGCGTTCAGAGCTGTACATACAGTAACAATTGCTGTACATGCATTCACAACCTCTCTTTTTGTTGCTCAATTCCCGTTCACATAGAGCAATCAGTCAAAGAGAAGCATACCAAGAGCTGTCTGAAATAAAAATCCAACAGGAGAAAAGAAAACATCTTGCCTTTTGCCTGTTTTCTACAAAATTGTTCAATTACCCTTTCCCTTCATCTGCTTCTTGGAGCCTTTCTTCTCCCCTTCCTTTTCTGAGCCAGTCATGTTACTTACACACTCAGTATTCAGAACAGATACAATATTAAACCACTTGGCTTGATCAAGATGTATTGTACAATGCAGCTCTCCTGACAAGGCTGCCTAATTTCACAGAATCCCAAATATCCCTACAGAAAATTTCAGAGCATAATTGCACAGAGCATGGGAAATAACTCAAAATAGAAGACATTCGACTTACTGAAGCAACAACTTTGCATTCTGAGACACGTGAAAAAAAAAAGAAGCCGAGTGCCAATTATTTTAATTATAACCATACTCGTTCAGAAGCTAGAACGTGCAACTACTCCCCTCCAGCTTTCCCATGCTCTCTGTGCCCCATCTCCATTTCTCACCTTGCTGCCAGTCCTCCCGGCCTCAGATTGGAGACCCTTGGCTTTCCATCTTTGTCCGTGCCACCCGAAATGGTTAACCCAAGGGTGCTTCCTTCCTTCTTAATCAGCTCCACGATGGTGACCCCTCTGAACTCTTCTGAAAGATCAGGAATAAAGGCAAGCCCCTCAGTGGAAGGCACATTCCTCCCAGTCCCAAGGAGAGCCTTTTCCTACAGGTGCTGGGAGAGCAGACCTGTGATGATTTATACTGTTAGCAGGACGAGAAAACTTTTCTTTGAATTGGAATTGTGAAAGAGAAGTGTGCCTGGTGGACCTGCAGGAGTGGTGGGAAAGCATTACATGCAGGTCTGGCAGGCAACACCAGGCAGGGCAAGGCAGGGGAGTGAGGACTTGTGAGAGGACGAAAACATCGTGTTTCCAGGGTGCTGGGAGCTGGGCAGAGCCCCAGGGAGATTACCTCAGGAGCTATGTTTTATACGGACCGGGGTGGGTGTTTGGAGGGCTGCGTGGCAGTCACAGTTCCCAGGCAGGAGGATGCTGTGGAGCTGCAGTAACTGCCTGGATGGACAGAATAGGGTGGATCTTAAATACTGTGATTTAAAAAACATCCTGAGATATCAATGAAGTCGGGAGGTAAAGAACATAACGTAGGGAGGGGTGGGATCCTGCCGTCAGCAGGGGAAGCAGTGGGAAGCACAAACTTCAGTCATTCACAGCAACATCTGCACGATCTGTATCTGGTCCATGTCAAACTTCTTCCATGCTACCCACATCTACACCTCGAACCAAGCCTGACCTGATGCCAGCTTTGATCCCATTACAGCTCACCTCTGGGCTTTACAAAAACAGTGTCCCTAAACTATTTTAATTTAAGGAATTAACGTGGAGGAGGGGAATGAGCTCGTGGGGGAGCCAGCAGCAGCCCAAGGAGAGACCAAGAGCTCCGCTGACTTGGCGGAAGGCAGCTCCACGTTAATCCACACGACGGCACTCGCACTCTGCTCAGAGGACGACTAGCCCCGGGACAAATGAGATGACTTTCATGCCTTGCCAGAGCCTCCTCTAAGAAGCTTTTGCAGAATTTGTCTACAACATGATCCGTCCACCTCCACTCTCGCTGGGTACTGAAAACCCTCACAGATTTACAGCAGAACGTCAGCCTCCTTCACGCAGGGCAACCTTCTCCAAAGCCGTGCAGGAGGAGGCAGTGATGGGCACTGGCAGCAAGTGGACACAAGCAGTGCCATGGCTGTGGAACAAAACTCATGCTGCAAATGACCCACGAGTGCTCATTCGCACAGCAAGCCCCGCAAGGCTTAAAGGGAATGCTGTGCTTCAAGGGGGAACATTAAAAACCTCCTGCATGCTATGATTTCCACAGCAAGGCGGGTTGTTGTAAATAACACACTGACACAGCAGATCTGTGCTCGTGCTTCCCCTCTCTGTCCTCTTTCACTGGGAGAAAACGCGTGTCGTTTGGCACCACGGTGCCTCACCGTTAGCACGCTGCTCCTTGTGTAATGCCATCGTGACTCAAGAAATTGCACCTCACTACATCCTGCCATGCGCTACCTGGTTTGTGCAGCACTTCCAAGAACAACCCGTGCACTTGATTAACACAAGTGGAGAACCTCTTTGCAATCTAGCACCGGTCTGGAAGGCTTTCAGGCACCGCTGGGTCTCTTTTTAACGTGGTAACGGCAGCTTGTTGCGAAACAACAGGTCCATAATGCTCCTGCTCTTTAAGCTCAACCAGCTTTGACCCCTTGCCAACTCAGTAACTTAGTTCTCCATTCACCAGCCCGGGATCCCAGGGGTTGCCAGAAACTTTGTGGGGCTCCCCACCGTGCTGGAAGGAACGCCATCCGGCACCATCCTGCAGATTTCCTCTCAACTGCAGACGTGACTGATCAACACAGATGGTGCCGCGAGGGGAGATTATTAGCTCTTCAATGGGGTTTAATTTTGATCCTTGAAAAGTGTTTAAAATGAGAACTCCCAGAGTGCAATTACCCATTGTTGTGGGTTCAAGGAGAAATCACTGCTCTGGAAAAAAGCAGGTTCCTGGGATCAATCTATCAAGGTAAGCAATAAGGGACGTCAGCCAAAGCCTCCATAAATCTGCTGCTGCTATCGGAGACTCACACAGATGTGAAAGTGAGCTGGTTAAGCTGGATCTGGTCCTTCACGACACGGCCTTTAAGTGCCATATGAGTAATCTCGGGTTTCTTCTATTGGCACTTACGCCTAGATTTTGCTGTTCAAATGGCAAAAGGGCCCTGTTCCCTCCCCAGGCTCTGCAACATGCAAAACCAAACCTGAGTCATTAATGGTCAGAAGACAAAATCAAGCCCTGTGCTTTATTAGGAAGGAGACGAGCTGCCAGCCTCCTCCTGCCCTGCAAGCCTGATGTGGCAGCACTTCCTCCCTCTCTCCTTTGCCATTATTTTCCTCTTTGCAGGTGTCAGCTGAGGGCAGGAACCGATCCTTCCCCAGCTCACTGTGACCACCATTAATGGCTCCTCACCAGACCACAGTTGCACCAGGCCCATACCACTCACTGCACTGGCTACTGCCATCCATTTCTGCCTCCCAGCAAAAGCCTTGCTGTTAGATACACTAAAAAGGGGGGTTACTCTTTTGGGGTAAAGCCAGGTAAAGCGTAATGCATGCCCCGAAATGGAGGGGTCAGTCCCCTCCTTTACCTGGGATGCTTTGCCTCCTGGAGACCAGGGCTGCGTCCATCCCGCCGGAGTCCTTGCTCCCCTTCGAGTAAGGGCCATCATCTGGGGGCAGAGCAAACACAGAAGCTGAAATTAGTGTCAAAAGCAACAGACAACCGCAAAAGCACAGCACTGCAAAACGTTTGTCCTTGTTGACGCTGGAAGTAGGATCAGGACCTCATCACAGACTGTGGGGGAGAAAAATCACTGCCAGCCCTGGCTTCTCGCTGCGTCACGGGGGCTCTCCAGCCTTTTAGGGAGGGAGGGAAAGAAACGAGGCAGCAGTGGTGCAATAACATTATCTGATTTATTCCTCTGGGAGCTAATCCGTTAGGAGAGAGCGAAATTTCCTTGCTCCTGTAATTATGTGGAACAGCTGAGGACAGGGAGAGCTGTGGCATTAGTCTCACAAGTTTTAAGCCTGTCATTATGCTTGTGAAGAAACTTATGGTCTCTGGAAATGGAGTTATACATCTGGACACTAACAGGGCTCTAAATCACTATACTTGAACGAAATTGCCTATTCTTATAGATCCCATTATTTCAAAGTCACATTTTCCTGCTGCTGTTCCAGCCTCTGTACAGTACAGAGAGCACCTTCTCTTAAGTGACTTAAAAAAAAAAAAAAAGGCAGAAGAAGGAGAAAATAGTGTTATACACTGTAAATGCAGTGTGGCATGATTTGAAATTTAAATATAAAATATTTCAATATCTCTGTATTCTCCTGTTGGAAGACACCTATCTTGCAGAGAGGTTATTTGCAGAGAGGGGAGCATGCTTCTCCACATTTAATTGGCATATATCTACAACGTCTGCTTTTCTGGCATTTCCTAAAAAGCTGGGGCTTCGTCAAGCAATAATTTCCAGTAACTACGCAGTATCAGATAATTCCCCTTCTCAGTGCCCACATTCCTGGATTGCCCTTCCCAATCCTCCAGTAGCTGTGCAGGTTTACAAATTGTCCGTGGCAGTTTAAATACAGATTACCAAAAAACCCAGCCACATGCTCCTGTCCACAGCCCTCCAGTAACTCCTATTTCAGTTACTGAGGAGTTTTTGTCTCGCTGTGTACGAGGGGAATAATAACTTCTGTTCCTTGGTCTGTACACAGAGCAACCAAAACAGCCCTCTGTCCCCACAAACAGACAAATGATGGTGTAAACTGAAGCATGTGTGTTACACTGAAACGCCAAGAGCTGGAGTTTACTCAAGGGCTTGAGCATTTTTAAGAAGTGAAATGAAACAAGTTTCCACGTAAGGTAGTTTCCAAAAAGGCAAAAACACACACATATATTTTAATTCTTGGTGCCCCAGCCGAAGGAACTTCACAAGTTGACAAAACTCAGTGAAACATTCTGGCTGACCCAAACCTGTATTTCTAAGCATAGAAAGCTTCAGCTGAAAAATAAGCACCCTTCAGTTTTTCAACCCAAGTTGAGCAGCCCGTAGTGGGATAACATGGATGTTCAGACCTTAGATTTTTCTCCCGTGTCAGTTTGAAGGCTTTTCCACCACCATTAAACTGAAGATTTTTAATAAAGCAAGAATCAGCACTTGGCACTAGACCATCACCAAGCAGTGCCAAGTCCAACAAACACTGAACCGTGGTACCCAAGCAGCCAGGACCTCTGCAAAACGAGGGGAGAACAAGGCTCTGCCTTTCAAAAGGAGGAGAAAACACTGTCCTGACCAGTGGAGATCTCTCAGCATGACACAGTGCTGACAGCAAAACCAGCAGCTATGGCTTGGCTATAACAGCAGGAGCCAAGTCAAGGCACTGACTTCAGATGGGTGCTGGTGCAGCCTGGCATCAGCTCTAGGAGCAGAAAGCCTGAAAATTAAATTTGCATTGTAACGGCAATGGCCTTTTGGGTGATGTGGAAGTCAGGGACAAGGTTAATCTGGGCTTAATGACTCTGGAAAGTTTAATTTACTCATGGCAGCTTGGCTCCAGCACGCGAGTTTTTAAAATAAAGCGAAGCCACCTGCCATCTCCTCTTCTGTAGATGTTCAATAATGATATAGATTCAGAGCTTTTACCCTCTACCTGTGTTGGCCATGTTCATTTTAATTTCTCTCTCCAGTAGGTTTTACTAATGTCCTGCCTTACCCTTGCTGTCACCCCATGCCTTGCACAACTGCAGAGTCAGAAAAGCGGGATGGTTTGGGAGTACACAGCAGGCATCCCCCAGAGGAGCAGCAGGACACCGATCCCACTTGCTGCCTGCACACTCCGCTCAGCCCAGGGGCCATCACCTCCCTTCACCTCTCTGCCAAGTGCAGGAGCATGTTGGAGGACAAACCTCAAAACAGCAGCTCAGGATACCGAGCACGAGGTTGCTTTTTCAGCACCAGAGCTGGGTCTGCAAAAGGCACCTGCAAAATTCCCTGGGACCCTCGCTTTCCATGCGAGAGCGCTGCCCTGGGTAGCACACCTGAGGCAGCAATGCTCCGAGGATGATGGGAACCCTGCACTCCCGGGGAGCCACGCAAGATGGTTCGGTGCCAGCTCCATAATCTGTTGGCAGAGGGAAGCAGTCAACCATCTGCTTCGCATAAACACACCGCCCTGGACCAGACAGCCACTGGCGCTCCTCTGCGCTTCGCTTCCCCATCTCAACCCCAATCCCTACCAATACGAAACCCCGTTTTGCTGTCTCCCTCCCGGCCCAGGCACACGCAGGCAGACGTGGCTGCCATTTCAGCAAGCCAGCAGCTCGCCCATGAGCCACCCGCTCCCCCTGGCAGCCCAGAGCTGGGACCCACGCTGCCAGCAATTCGCACCGAGCCCCCCGCGTCCTCGGCCACCGGCTGGGCTGGCAAATAATTAGCACCACAGCTCCCCTTCCCTTATCACTTCTCCCTTCCAAATCCAGTTGATTATGCTAAAAATATTTGTGGTTTTTTTTTCACTCATTATCTGGCTAAAATGTTTGAAGAGGAGAGGAAGCTGCCACATGCCACCTGCCGAAGTGCGAATTGGCATTTGCTCGCATTAGCATCCCCGCCGCGCGGCTCTTTGTTCATTTTCAGCCCATTTCCTGCTCTGCCACTCAAGCTGGTATTAATGGGGACACTTTGGGGGGGATTACTTTGGGTTTTAAAAGAAGGAATTCCAGCTCTTTTTGCTCTCTCCCTGTCATTTCCCCTGCCTAGCACAGCTCCGCCTCGGAGGGAAGGCAGCAGCCTCTCTGCTCAGCCAGGCCCAAAGGCAGCGCCAACCAAACCACTGCAACTTCATGAATCTCTCTCCAATCCCTAAAATGAGGGAAAATAATGTATTTTTTTAAGCCTCTGCAGATTCTTTTTTTTTTTTTTTTTTTTGCAAGCAATCCATGCTGGAGCCATTAGAGGTACATTTTTCGACCTTTTTCTCTCCCACCACGCAGGCCAAGTTTTTTCCAAAGAAAATATTCTGTAATGAGTGTTTCCAAGCAGCGGTGTTGGTGCCAGCCCTACACCTGTCAGAGAAGTTCATGAGGTACCTAAGACTCTCAATAAAACTGAGTGCACAACACTTTCCATACATTGATCCCATAAGGGTCTGTGTCAATATGGAAAAGTTCCCCTAAGTTCTTTTTTTGTCATTTCAGTGACTTCCTACCAGCAGGGAGAGAAGAGCTCCTTGTCCCTGTCCCTACACACAGCCCTGAGCTTTCCTTCCCTGCAGCAAGTGTTGTAGAGTCAGAACGTATCTCATATAGTGCCAAAAAAAAGAGGATATAATCCCACCTCGTTCCCTCAAAAACAAACTTGACAGGTGAAGCAGAGAAGGAGAAACATCCCCTGGCTTTAGCTGAAGTTGCAGCTTTCCCTAGTTAAATTCCCAGTGAGATGTGAGCGCAGGCACCAGGATCCTCTGTCATCAGACACATCTTAAGCCAACCTCTGCAAAAAAATAAGCTTCCTCGGAAAGAGCACTGATTTAGGAGTTCATTATCCCTGCCTGTGGGGGGAAAAAGGAAGGGTTTTTCATTTAGAAGAGTTATTAGTCTGTGTTATTAACACAGATCACTTCTTAATGAATATCGTCACTGGCTAAACAAGGCTCTGGGACAATTAGGCTTCCTGTCTGCCACTTGTTCGGATTCCTCGATCGTTTGAAGACAGTTCCCGCAGAGAAAGTGCATTAATCTTGTGGGAAGACCAAGAGGTAAAACTTCCCATTTGTTTAATGGAAAAAAGACAGTTGGAGACAGTTATTTCACCATAAGGTAATTGCACTCCTTGTTTAGAGAAATGAACACTAAAACAGCGTTCAGAACCAAGTGCTATTCATGCTGACGCAAGCCAGTATTTTTTGCTAGAATAAAAGCCCAGGGCTGGAAGCAGGAACCCAAACGACCAAAACTAAGTGGGATTTGATCCATTTTGAGGAGTTATTTCTGCAAGTCAGAGGAGGAATTCAGCTGCAGACAGATAAGGAGCAGTGAGGGGCGCATGAGAGGGGGTCAGGTAGCTGGTGACACTTCCAGCTGCAGCCTCCTGGCTGCTGCTCTCCAAGGCACGGGGTTTTTAAGTAAGCTGAGTGCCTGAAGATGCAGACATGGGCTTGAAAAATAATGAGAATCGATCTATCCGTACCTTTAGGCACCTTTGGGTTTGGTTTTAAGGCTCTATGCAACCAAAGCTCGCTCTCGGAGGAATGTTATTTCAGCATCGCCGTGCGGGTGGGGATGGCTGCGTTAGGTCTGTGTGAGAGCAGCACTGGTGGTGGCTGCCCGTCTCCCAAGTGCTTAGCTTTTACCACAAGAGGAAAGCAGGCACAAAGAGGCAAGGGCATGAAAATAAAAAGCCCATTTTCAATGCTGTTACAAATAGGTTGCACGAAGGTAGTTAATTATAGTGTCCAAGGCAGCCCAAGAGCTCCCACCATGCCTCTGCTTCAGCCAGGAGTCTGATTCCACAACAGATAACATCCTCCTTGGAGGGTGGCTGGGATTTTCTTCTGCTCAATTAAGTCCAAAACTCCTTAGGCCCTTGGAAAAGTCCTACATGAGTTCACTGTAAACAGAACCCAAACAAATGTTAGAAAAAAAAGAAAAAAAAAAGAAAAAACAAAC